AAAATCTATCTCGTCTAAAACGCATTAGAAGTTATCTTGACCTTTGACTGCTATCAAAGAGCATTTTACGCTTGGGTTAGATTAAATATCAAATTAATATAGTTTTGTTTTAGCTTGACTTTATGTAATCGCGTTTGGGTAATATTAGATAGAATTTCTATTTATCGGTTATTTTTTATTTTATTTCATTATTTTTTACTTTATTAGTACACTCGAAAAAAAATAACGTTATTTTCAATGAAAATGTAAATTTATTTGATAAATAATTTATTCCTATTGACCTCATAAATGTTTTATCAGCATAATAAGGCATTGTTGTTATAACAACAATTTTATCGCATCAATCGAAAAATTCATTGTATCAAAAATATTTATCAAACATTTGGTTGTTTATCAATTTAATGAAATTTATATCAAGGTAATAATTTTTTTTATATGAATAAAGTGGTTTTATTAAGGGTTGATAAATAATGTTAATTAAAATGAATTGTTATATTTCGTTGGGTGTAGTTTAAATTCAAAAATGCACATAGGTTTTCCATTTTACTATTAAACTAACCAAAAAATCCTAATGTTCCTCCGTAGGTTTCCTGCTAAGTGGGGAAAGTGCCCAAATGTACTAACTGGTGAATGGAATATGTTTAATGACTAGGTGTAGATATCGATTATTAATGTTAGTAGATCATTCTGGTTTATCCCATGCAGAAGGAATATTTCGTCCTAATAAGCTTAAGTTGAAAGATCACATCGATATTTCTTATCTTTGCGAGCATTTGAAACTACAAACATATTTTGTTGTAATATATTTTTATTAACCTAAATATCGGTCAATTAATGTGACCTAACCTAACCTCTTAATAATTGAGTTTATTAATAATAGTTAATAATTATAGAGAATAGTTAATAATTATTGGAGTGAGAGTTTATCGGTTATCAGGATTGTATGTTATTGTTTTATCGGCTAAACGAGTACGATCTAACAATTTAAACCCGGTGCAACCCAAACGGCTCTCATCCATTGTTTGTTTTTTCCTAAACGGCTCCGGTATTCGGTACTACGCGTATATTATGAAGTCTCTTTAACTTTTCAAAAAAACTATTAAATCTATTAAAATTTGTCGTTTTTATTCCATAAAAAACTCGCTGACGAGAAGGAATTTGTGTTGTAAAAAACCGGAGCCGTTTGAGAATTTACCTTTATGTAAAACGGGAGCCGAATGGGCTACGTCCTTTAAACCATAAGACAAAAAAAATTATAAACGAGGTATGTAACATGTAATATTAAAAATAAAGTATTATTACATGTTTTTAATATCATAATCCGTTATGGACAAAGCCTGTTATGGCCGCCTGCATCAACTACACTTATAAATCAAGTTAAGCAGTGCCGTAGCGAGGGGAGGAAAACGCCAGGTGCCCTTCCCATTTTTTTTATAATAACAGTGGGTAGGCAAGCAAAATGTCGAATGTTGTAAAATATATATTATCCCTTAGAATTTAATAACTATTACCTTTGATTTTGCGACAATTCTTAGGTAGTTTTATACTTAAATTGTGTATTTACAGCAATCCTTTTTTCTAGCTGTAAAAAACTTAAGTAAGTGCGTGGAGTAAAGCGCTCGCTGAACGAATGACGTGTAGACTATATTAATCAAGGGATACCTAATGTTAATTTGCCTTAAAAATAAATTGGTAGTTTGCATGATTAAAATTTGTACCGGTCTATATTATAGTGTCAGATATTGCTTTTATATTTTTTACACGTAGTTACCTTAATTGTAGGCGGGTGGTTGAACAATAATATATTTTGTAACCACAACGTTGTCTTAAAAAATCCACGTCGCGCTGTCGCTTATAGGGTTTATCCCAAGAGCAAAAGAAATATCTCGCCGGTACCTTTGGACCTTTTCTGGACTGTTTTCAGTAACACTGGACACATATAATTGTTATACATATGGTGCCCCGGTTACGTTGTAGTATAATAGTATACAATATTTATTGCCTTTTGGAATTACACACGGTTCTATTCATCGGGAAATGGCGTGATCGTTCTTAATCTGTTTCTCTGCAAGAAGATTAATGTATTTTGTCGTACCTACCTAGTAATAGTAATTTATAATTGTTTTGGCGAAAACATTCCGTGTAAGAGTATACATAAAATGCGTTTCAATTCGGGGTAACGACGTCGAATCAGATTTATGGCGTGCCGTTTCCAACTTTTAGACACCAGAAACCCTGTAATTTTTCACGAGAAACAAAAACTTGGGTAAACCGTCGGATTCAATACTGCTCGTTCACCGTATAAGTAGACATATCAAAAGTTTTCGGACAAAATTAAAAAATTCTGTTTTAATTATAGACAATAAAAATTCTGTGCAGCCAGCTCCGGTTCGTTAACGTTATTTACATAATAACTTATAATAAAAATAATCAGCGCGGCCATGTTTTATACAACTTTCATTGCTAACTTTACTAAAAATTGGTATTTGCTTCTGAAAGTTCCGCCCTTTTTACTCTTTTTTTTTGTATCGACCTCGCTGATAAGCGACGTATTGTTGTTACCAGACATTTCCAAAATACATTTTCCGTGATTAAATATTCAAAAACCGAAACCCTAAACAATTCGATTCGTTTTGTAGTAATTATTATTCATACCCCATAAATAAACTCATTATTTACAATCAGTTACATACAGCTGACAACACCCGGTTTTACTGACAAGTCCAGTAGTGAAAATATAGTAAAATCATAATATCAAAGGCTTATCTATATGAGTCGACGTTACAACCTTTTTTAACAAAGATTTCGATTATTTGACTGCCGCGCTGTGTTAATTGAAAAGGTTTACCAAAAAAAGGGATTTAACAATCATAACAAGCGTGTGGTATATTATTTGTCGGTCAATTCAAAGAGATGATTTTCAAAATAATACGAATCTTCCGATTATTTCAGAAGTAATGCTTAAAATTAAATTAATTTTAACATTCTCTAAATGTGACGTACTTAGTACGTACCTACTTATTTATGCGATCAAACTTGTTGTGACATAAGTTTTTTTTTTTATGTTATTTGACTTGACTTGAACGCAGTAAGTTCGGTAAATGAGAATATTGAACACTAAATGTGTATATATTATGTTTGAAAAAAAGCAACGATTTAAATTATTAAAGAACTTAATGCGATAAATTCTCTGTTCTGTGCCACGATAAAGAATGAGCGTGTGCCTTTTTTTGCTGCTTTGTATATTTGTTTATTAATTATGAAAATGTGTTTGCATAATTCAACAACCATTCGCCGTGGTTTTTTTGGATGAATTATTCGTCTACCTGTTTGTGCTACCGTTTTGCATTTTAATGTAACTATTGTAACAACCCGACGATAAAGTGAACCAAAACAACTATAGCACTGACAAATTAATTATTTTAATATTCTAATAGAACCAATTGTAGAAATGTCAATAAGGAGTTTTTCTTTATTATTGGTGTCATTGTTAGAAGCTCTATTTTAACTGCGTTAGGTTTTGGGCTGCAAACTGAGGACTCTAGACGCCAACAACTTTAATGCATTTTCAACAAAATAATTAGTTATTAGAATTGGTTTAGAAGTGATTAGAGTGATGGTTTTGGTGAGCAACAGTGATTGGAATTAACAAGTTGTAATCTTGATATAAAACTCTTGATCAACGCTCGTGTCATTGAACCGGCAGGGTGAGCTTAAGGCCTTCGTAGGTTTGTTGTATGGTTAAAAGTGTGCAGTCTGTGGGCGTCCAATCGCAATCAGACATAACAAGATGGGAGAGTAGAAAACTATTCGTTTTACAACTGTTGTAGCGCTTGTTTTAATTGGTTTCGCAGCTCTTTGTAATACAAATTTCAAAATTATTTCATTCTTACTCATATTTTTTCCCCCTTTCGAGCGTCTCTCGAATTACCGCTTGAGGATAACCGGTGACCGACGTAGGGGATTGTTTAATATTTTGGGTTCAGGTATCCTAAGGTTTGCTCCTCCGGTAGCTTTTGACGCTGCCGCGGGGAGGGATAGCAGTTTTCAGTACGCACGTGCGTATGATGTCATTGACCTCGGCTCAGGGGTGTGCGTAAGTGGGTCACGCAATCGCCCTGACGGCCTTGCGCACGGGGTGAACGCGACTCGACCAAACTTGCAACCCCACCCCACCCCCTTTCACCCTTCCACGCGAATTACCTCCATAATGGCGCATTTCTCATCACCCTCTAACAATCGTTATCGCATCTGGGCGCGTTCGTTGCCGGTGCCGAACGCCTTTCAATTAGGAAGCAGGTTTTTTTTATACTCTTAGTGTCGATAATAATTATCATCGGCCTATCTTAACGGGCAAACACTCTCCTCGGCTGTTCTCTGTCTACACTGCCGCCTCGGGCTTACACGATCAGCTGTTGTACGCAATGCTTAGGTCGTACACAACATAACCGTCGACCTATTGGACTTTGGACTAGACTATTTGAATTAAAAAAAAACAATACAATCGTTCCACAATCGAGCTGGAAAGATAAAAAAAAAACTAATAACAAAAAATTAAGGTCCAGAACATCATAATATATCTATCACCTGGAAATAATATTTTGTTGTGTATATTTATGCTGTCTAAATACATTTAAATTGTATAATATACAATGTTGTGACGAAAACGTAATGAAAGAATAGAATTCTCAAATTGTCTTGCGAAACCGGAAATAGGTATATAACGCTTTGGACGACCAAAACGGTCGCGCATTACACGGACATGGTTTGGCATTACAACTTTTGATTTTTTAGCTTTTTTTTATTTATACATAAATCCGTCAGAATATAAATTGTTTGTTTAACGAAACCCTATCCATGCTCTAGACTGGGCAAAAACCATTATATAAACCAACACGGTGTATATATGGTCAACATTGTATTGTTAACTAACGTAAAAAATTACTTGTGTGTAATTTTGGAGAATTTGCTAATTATATGCTTGATTGCTGTTTTTCCAGGTAAATCTCCTTTTTTCCAAAATCTCGAAGACCAAACGGGACTGTTGGACGACTCGGGAACTCATCTGATCGACACATCCGTACAAGCTTTGACTTCGCCGTCTCGGTCCTCTCCACACAGTCAAGGTTCGGAAAGCAGCGAACGGTTTTCAAGGAAAGTGTTTGTGGGCGGTTTGCCGCCGGACATCGACGAAGGTCTGTTTCATTTTTCGCCTAGCGTTTGTTCAGCATTTATTGACCGTCAGATTTCAAATGAAATGTGATTTGGTCGAGGCTCAACGATATTATATTCGGCGAACCTGTCAAATCGATCCGCAGTTGATATAGTGTGTGTTACTATATATCGTTGTCTGTTATCCGTTTCAGATGAAATAACTGCTAGTTTTCGTAGATTCGGCCAATTAGTCGTCGATTGGCCTCACAAAGCCGAAAGCAAATCCTATTTTCCACCCAAAGGATACGCTTTTCTTCTGTTCCAGGTAACGTGCACTGTATTGTATAATCGCCGGCAAATCGCTGCCTGCCATTGATAAAATAAAAATAAATTTAAGGTTTTTATATACATATATGTATTGGGAAAGAAACGGTTTTTAAAGAATGCAATAGTGTTTTTTAGATGTGTACAAAACAACGTAACGTTGTCATGATTTGTCAGTATTGTTTCCACGGTAGAAAAAATCATTTGTGATATTATCATTGATAAACCAGCAGGAGGCAGTTACTTATACTTGCCGGGTGTGTTTTCAGGACGAATCGTCGGTCCAACAGTTGATCGACGCTTGTATTCAAGACGACGATAAACTATACTTGTGCGTGTCGTCGCCAACAATCAAAGATAAACCAGTACAAATCAGACCTTGGCGTTTGTCGGATGCCGATTTCGTACTCGACGCTTCTATGCCATTGGATCCTCGCAAAACCGTGTTCGTCGGTGGCGTACCCAGGCCTTTGAAAGCTGGTTAGTTTTTTAGTATTATTTGTTCGTTGTTTTTTTTTTTATGTGAATCCCAACCCAAAAGCAAACGGTACACTAAGCCAATGAGATCGGATCTTGTTAATAAATAATTATTACTCGGATAGACACAAGCCACGGCCTCCGAATAAAATCAAAATGATTTTGTTTCAATAGAAATATGCTGTTAAAAAAATTGACGCGTATAAATTAAATATATACGTTATTTTTATACAAATTCAAATAATTATTAAAAATATAAAATTGCGTGTTATTTAAATTACAAATTCCCAGGTTTGACAAACATTGAAGTATTTCCTCAATGTGGCCTAATTTAACTCCCAACATTAAATATTTGTCGCCTAAATCTGGCCATTTATTATTTTTATAACAGTTATTTGAAAATAAAGAGTTATTTTTTATACATTTTTATATATTGTTTCAAAAAAAAAAATGTATCATATACAGTCCTTGCATCTGTTTTTATATAACTAGTAGTTGATTTAAAGTTGGTAGTTGGTTTGTGGTGGTATTTGTTTTTGAATTAAATTTTAAGAAATAATAACAAGAATTAATAAATATTAATGGATTTTGATATTACAGTGGAGTTAGCAATGATCATGGATAGACTGTACGGCGGTGTTTGCTATGCAGGGATTGACACCGATCCAGAACTCAAGTATCCGAAAGGAGCCGGTCGGGTGGCGTTCAGTAATCAACAGAGTTATATTGCTGCTATCAGTGCGCGTTTCGTACAGCTTCAACACGGAGACATCGATAAAAGAGTGAGAACATTTTATTAATTTAAATTATTTTTAAATTCGATAAAAATCCAACCTTTACTATTTTATTTCCCAGGTCGAAGTCAAACCGTACGTACTGGACGACCAAATGTGTGACGAGTGCCAAGGACAAAGGTGTGGAGGCAAGTTTGCTCCGTTCTTTTGTGCCAATGTCACTTGCTTACAAGTAAGCCAATGCCTCATTAATTTTACTCGGATAAAATAGTTTTGGGATTTTAATCCATTAGACATTACAATAATATTTGTGTGTAACTTGCAGTATTATTGCGAACTGTGCTGGGCAACGATCCACTCGAGACCCGGTCGTGAGTACCACAAGCCTTTGGTCAAAGAAGGCGCCGAGCGCCCAAGAACTGTACCCTTCCGTTGGTCATAACGTAAGGTCGCGACAGAAAACAAAATCGAGTAGTCACATTTTATTAATCCACTAAATTTGTTTTTGTTTTTATTTGATTTTATTATTCTTACGCATGTTTATACAAATGATATGAAAATTTTAATTTTTTAAGTAGTCTTTTTAAAATCTGTCGTTTTTTAATACGAGAACTGTTTTTTACAATTTTTTTAATCTACCTTAATCACACAAGGAAGCCTCTGACTTAGGAAAATTGACTTTTTTCTCTTTAGGACTATTTTGAAATATTCAGGGTAAACACAATGGATAGGGCTCCTTCATCTAGCAAACAAATTGTATCTATTACTACAAACGAATTGTATTTAGTGCTATGTAATCCTTCCAAAGAACTTAGATTTTGTTTCGTTATGACTATTTTCATTTTTAGTTTATCATATTTCAAATCTTTATCATTTTTATTTTCTTTAAAACTTAAGTTTTACACAACTTCCAAAAAAAAAGATTTTTATTATTCTCGTTTTTTTTTCGTTTTTTTTTTTTCTAACGACCTAGGTGACCTAAGAGTTTTGTTTTTATTTTATTTGAAAGTTTATTATTTTTTAGACAATTTGTTTGAACTACTGCCACGTTTTTATCATACAATTTTTATAGTTATTGTTTTCATTTTCCTCAATATGTTTTTTGATAAATATATACATGTTTATGTACACAAAAATTAAATTTAATATAAACGTTTTTAATTTTTCAATTTTGAGTATTTTACGAATATGGCATAATGATTTTATTTTCCCAGTTAGATTTCATATAATAAGGAAAATATTATTATGGTTATATTAGTATCTTTTTATTATTTATTTTTATTCTATTTGGGGCAATATTTTATAGAACGACCGGAATATCTAAATGATATTTGCGGACATGGACCACAGGTGTTACCTATAGCAATTTTAAATCAATTAATTAATTATCAACTTGCAATGTTTTGTAATTTAAACTTATGGTTGCATCCAAGCAAGTCATAAGTATTCCCTTTTCCTCCTGATTATTCGCCTAAAGACATTTACAATTACAATTAAAAGTAACAAAATTAACAATACGATATTGAATATATTTTTCTACTTCTTTTTTGATATTTTTTAGGCAGCTTCGTTACGTCTTTAGTCTAGTTACCAATTCTAAAAGCGTTTTACATGAAATTACACTAATGAAAACTGATGTTTTATCGGCAACGTTTGTATTACCTTTTTTAAATAATAATAATAAAAATAAATAACGTTTGTTGAATGTTATTTAGTTTTCAAAAGTTTTTAATGTTTTGTTATGTTTTTTTATATAAATAGTATTTAGTTTTTAATAACCTACCTTTATTTTTTTATAACAATTCTATATATTTTTTAATATATTATTATACTCTCTTTACCCTTTATTAGTAGCCTGGTAGTTTTTATTAATTTTTTTCGTTGAACTCCTGATCTTCCCCCCCTTTAGTTGTATTAGCACTAGCACTAATAACTATAATTATGAATAGCAACGCTATGCAATACAAACTTAAGCAAGAGTGACAACATCTTTGACTGTTTGATATCACACCTGTTCATTTAATTTAGAAGACTTCACGACCTCTTAATGTTTTTGTGTGTAGTGCTAATTAAATTTACCGACCTAATGTTGTCTCTCGTTACCCTAGTAGTTATTTTTTGTCATTTTATTTTGGTAACATAAAATAAAAAAGATCAAAAATTATAAAATATACAATTTAAAACATTGCAACATGTACTTAAAAAAGTTCAAAAAAAAAATTAACTAAAAATATAAAATTAGTAAAAAAAAAAAAAGGTGATTTTTTTAATATACATAAACATTGCGTTTTCTTGCACACTACGGTAGAGAGTAAAGGATAATTAATTTTCACTTTGTATATAGAACAAAATTTACATTATTATAATATATAATATGGTTTAGGCAAATTGTTGTGTTTTCTAATTAAAAAAAATTGTTATAATTTTTTTTTTGGGGAAAAGATTTTTATTGTAATTTTTAACTATTGAAACGAGATAAGTTTTTTAATTGCACCTAATAATAATAATAATAATATAATATTTATAGCGAATTTTTTCATTATATTGATTGTCATAATATATAAATTAGAAGATTTGATAGATTTAATATTATTACTATGTGTAAAAATTATAATTGTTTATGATTTAAAAAAAAAAATAACAAATTTGTTGGCAGTCAGATATAATACTAGTTTCTAGTCAAATTATCATTAGCCCATAATGTTCCTTCACGCGGGAGAAATAAATGTACTAAATTACATTTTTCAAAAGTAGCCAATGTTTTTCTTTTCTTTATCTATTGCTCATTCTTACTCTAATAACAAAATTATCAACAGCCTGAAATAATCTTTAAAGACGTAATATAATATAATATTATAGTATACAAATACAAATTTCAGGATATTAACATTTTAATTTTGCAATCACTAATGAACAATAAGTCGGTGTTTTATTATTATTTTTATTAAAAATCATTATTTTTTGGCCTACCAAATACTGAAAAATGCACTTTACAAATATTTGTTGGTGTTTTTTAATTATTGTGTTATGGCTTGTGTGGTTTTTTGCCGTAAGGGAAAAAGTATTGTAACCGTGTCCAATTTTCGACGAGATTAAATGCAATTTAAAAAAAAACATTATTTTAAATCATTTAATATAATTAAATGTAAATTACTTATTTGTATTTTGCTGGCCATTTAGACACAAGTGTAATTGGCTGTGACACAGTATATTTTGTGCATATTTTATTGTTTTTTTTTTTTTTTTTATCTAAACAATGCCTTTGCCTTTGTTTTAATTAAATTGAATTGTTAGTTTGTTTTTCTTATAATTTTTTCTCCGGGGCAAATTAACCGTGCTCTGCCCTAAAAATATTGTTTTAATGTCAATTTTATAAAATAGTGATTACCATAAATGCGTCCGGTTTTTTCTGTGAGGGTTTGGTTACCACTTTCTCTATTTAAATAGTTCAATTTTCTCGAAAATAGGTTTTAAAACGGTTTTTACTTGTTTTAATCGACGATCATTATTATAATTATTATTATTATTATTACCATTATAATAATTTTAGAATTATTAAACAGTCGTACCAACCTGTTGGAATGGTAATATGAAATTCTTGTTTGTTATTTGTGAATTTATTTTATTTTCTGTTTTTTTTTTTTGCCGAGCTCAATAATATATTCCATGAACTAAACACTAACAAACTATTCACTTAGGAGCAAAACACATTCAATTTTCATAAAAATGATAAGTGTCTTGTCGTCTTACAACGAAAATTCCACATCTTAATATTATAAAACACTATTAGTATTAAAATTTATCTTGCATAACACGTGTTATTAATATGTTATAATGTTATTTCACCATTTATACGTATTGTTTTAAAGAGTTTCTTTTTTTTATAAAAAAAAAAATAATAATAATAATCATAATGATGTAAGGTTTTTTTTTTTTTTTTTGTCAATTTGTCCATTTATAGAATTTGTTTTTGGCATACCGATTAACGTGACACTATATGAGTATTTTAATTTTTCTTATAAATAAATAATTAAATAGGCAGAACTGTGATATCATCATTAAGAATGGTATAAGAGCAGAAATGGTTTCTTTATTACTCTTTATGGTTATTTAATAAATTTGTTTATTATTTTTTAAACAACGTTTAACTGTACAATGATCTCTTGTGCAAAACAAAAAATTAACTTTACAAATGGACTAAACTTTTTTTTCATATTTTTATCTAAGTATAGTTTTTTTTTTTCATTTTTCTAAGTCTTAATTTTCTTGCATATGTATTATTTTAATAAGCCATGTCTTTTTTTTTCTACGCCAATTTAAATGATTATTATTAATATTTATATAATATTAATATATTTAATTTTTATATTAATATTATTAAATTTTTTTTTTTTTTATAATTTGCATTAAAATAAAATACCTTAATTGCCAGCCAGAAGCTAAAAAGAGTATTGATTTCAACCATTTGTTTGCTTTTTGTTAATTTTATTTTACATAAAATTGTATTCGACATAATTAAATAATAATTAATATAATAGTAATATAAATGGAAAAAAATTGATAATAATAAATTAAAATATTCTTTTGTAGTATAGTTTAGAATGAACGCTATTATAGCCTATGCTAAATTATATTATTTGTGTGCATTTTTTCATTACTCCTATTTTTTATGAATTTTGTACGTTTTTCTAATACCTTTTTTTTGTATACTACATAATTTTTTTTTTATGCAGTCATGTTGGACAGACCCTTTAGTAAAATTTTATTTTATCCTTACTCGCATATTGTTCATATGTATGACAAATAATCAAATTTTTGTTATGTTAAAAATTTTTTTTTTTTTTTATTACGACTTTATTTTTCAACTGTAACCATTGTCCAACTTGCTTTTCTCCGGTAACTTGCCCTAATATTTCTCATAGGGTCATTTTATGGTTTTGTTTTGTTTTTATTTTTTGTTTTGTTTTATAAAATCATTATAATAATTTATATCCATATTAAAAAAAATTATGATGAAAAAAAATGTGTTTTTTTATTTTTATTACCTATACAAATCACTTTACAGTACAACAAGCAGTGCCAAATTTATAACAGACGTGTTTCATGGAGCTAATGAACTTAGGATCTAATGTATAGCAAATAACATGTTTACTTAAATGTCCACTGGAAGATGCACACCATAGAGCATATTAGGTACTACTTTCTATGATCCACACTCGACTGCGATGACATAATTTAGAATTCGACCAACCCATTTACGATACAAATAATGAAACTATCTCTGAGAGCCTATTATATATAGGACAACTGACAAGCCCAACGGAAAGTATATCAACGAGAAAAAGATGAACCATACCTAAAAATACAAACGACCCGCAATATTATTAAATACTGCACTGATAGTTTATAGTAAATTTTATTAGCAATAGGTATAATTAAACAATACACCCAATCTTGTTCATGCTCCACGAACACATTCTTCAATACTAACCAAATTTGGTTATTTTGAAATTATTATTTATTTCAAAGCAAAGAAGAAAAACTTCCCATTATCAATAGACAAATATGCAGTGTTTTAAAATCTCCCAAATCATATTGTTAGTCATCAGAAAAATTCTGTTTTTAAAAATCGATTCAATTTACACACTACCTATACAAAATATAATGCATATTGTATAGTAATTAGAACTTTTGTAATTATTGGATCACTGTTTAGGTAAATTACTAATAACCTTGACGCCGGAGCCTTAATTACCTACTCATAAAAAAAAAACAATATATTATAAAGTTTGTGAAATAAATATAAATAATATAATAAATGTTTTTTTCTCCTATTAAAATTCATCAATTTTCATAACAAACGGACACACTAATATTCAATCAAACAAATACTTATGTAGTAGATTGTATTTTAAAATATAGTAGCAAAATGTTTTAACTTTTACCTATAATCTTCACAACAAACAGCCAAATATTGTTAAAATAAATCATCAAAAAGAATAAATCGAGAAAAATTTTTAAATATTTAAAAAAACTTTTCAATCTTTTCGAGGCATGTTGACAAAATAACGTTGAAATTGAATAAAATAAATCTATTTTTATAAAACTTAACCTAACCTACTAATTATAGTAAAATAATACATTTTAAAATATAACAAGTTTGATAAACTGTACTAAACTTTTAACTTTCAGTCTCTAACTGAGCTTCAACCCACACTCCACTGTACTAACTACTATAATCACTAACGTTTATTATCGATGCAGCTTATTTATAAATTGCACCTAGAGTACTCGAATAAATTAGCCTAGCGGTTTTGAAGTTCATCCAAATACTGAACAGACACATAAACAAAAAAAATTAACATCACCTTAGTTTCACTTGAAAGTTAAAACGTGTAAAATGTTCGCTGACAAACCCATATAACTATTAAGAAAAGAAAAGATCTACAAACATTTTAAAAAAAAGGTAAAAAAATGACAAAAGTTAAGGGGGCAACCGGGTTTGAACCGGTGACCTCTCGATCTGCAGTCGAATGCTCTACCACTGAGCTATACCCCCCGATTGCTTAATTTGGATGATTTGAATGATTATAAGCTATTGACATTTTTTTCATACATTAAATTCATATGATTGAAATCAAAACTTAATTATGAAAGTATTACTCAATTTAGGTAAAAATTCAATAACATCTAGTACAAATACTTAGCAATTTTAACCACTACCAATATTATCGCCCATTAAAAAGGAAAAAGATTAAAATTTTTTTTTGGTGTGTTTACTTACCTATATTGATGGATTAAATATAACTGGAATATATCTGGAAAATATTCTGTATAAATTTGAAACTAATTAGATTCTTTAAAAAAATGTTTAGCGTGCTGTAATTATAAGTTGAAAAATAAAAACTTTTTAGGGTATAGGTATTTATTAGATTTGAACGGGAATAGGCCCATTAAAGTAGGTTACTTTACAGGTACTATAGCTGATCTTTAAACTTGCTACATAAAAAAACCTACACATCAGTTTTGGAGACATCGCGAATCGTCCAAAAAAAAAAAAACGTATCATTTTAAAAACAATACCAATAATACTTCTTTCTCAGCTAAAATTATTATTGTTTATGTCCTAAAGATTATATATACCTATAGGCGCAACTAAACTTACATTTTAGGGGGTGTTAAATGTATACATGATTAAACATAATTCCTATCTTCAAACCATTAGATATAAAATAATATATTTGAAAACAAAAATAATCTTAAATAAAAAAATTGAACAGAGTATGTACATTATTAAAATTGTATGCGTACAAATCATGGATTGAACTTATGGGGGTGCTAATTTTGAATATCCCGGTACTAATGCCCCCCTAGTTACGCCTATGCCTACTTCCTAATATTCTTTAGATATATTTAATACGAGTCCTAAACCTACTTGTTATTTTCCTAGAACATTCTAACATTCAAATAAATTTACTATATTCAGCACAAATGTAATAGACGGAGTTCACTAGTTAGAACTATAGATATAACATACATAGGTAGTCTAAGCCATGTACATTTTCGGCAACCCAAATTTGAATCTGCATCCCTATCTTAACCATACATTCTTTGAATTCATTCCTTTACCATATTGTGGTTCATATGACTGTTATGACTACATTAATGTACATTGACATGAATATTCTATGTTAGAAGAACTTAACAGTTACTTCATATGACAAACAATGTAAATTATAGTGAAAATTGAAAATAAAATAAAATTATTAGAGATTAAGATTCACCAAAAAAAATAGAAAAAAATATTTAAATAAAAATTATCAAGTTTATTATACAATATAAAATTATTAACTTATTAGCATCACTTGAGCTTAATTTAATTTCTATCATTAAAAGAATACCATACAAATAACATATATCTTATATAGTATCTTATGTTCAAGACAAAAACTAAATAACTAGTTAATTGAGTTCCACACAATATGCTGAACAACCCAAATATTATATTAAAAAAAACTTATCTGTTAACACAATAATTATTAAAATAATTTGTGAAGTTTAATGTTATAACAGAAAGGAAAGAAATTAATTTTTGATGATGTTGTCTAATTCATTTTTAATTGCATTTACACCTTCAATCAATGGACTTTGTGCAAATCGGCTGTACAACATATTTTGACAAATGACCAACAAATCAAATAAGTTGACTGCTATGGACCTTCTATAAGACGAAATAAACAAAATTTAACAATTAATGACTATTGTACAATCTAAAGTAAAACAAGTGTAAATTGTTAATTTACCTTTGCATTCCTGAGGGCCATAAATCGACATTTTGTAAATAATAACGAGCTAGGCTCATGATCACTTCTAAAACATGTAGTTCACTAGTTTTTTGCCACCGAGGATCATTAGTAGAGTAAATTCTATACAAAAAACATAATTAGACATGAGTATGTAAATACCAAATTGACGTGACCTTAATTTTAATGAGTAAAGAACAAACTTTTTGTAAATAGACACTAGAGACTCAATGGGTGCCCCAATAGTCAACATTGTCGTATATACAGATTCCAAATCACCTCCTAAGTTGCAGTTCAAGTACTCCAACATGGTAGTCACGTATTCTAGGCAAATAATTTTATAGTTTATTCATCATTTTCTAAGAAATAAATGATAAAAAAAAAATTGGTTGGAACTATATGGATTGACTTACCTAAATCAAATGTAGAAGAGTTAATAGGATGTGAACTGGCTAGTGACTTGACCTTTTCCAAGGCAATTGTCATTTTGTTGTGTTCCCCAATGTCGCCACAATCTTTTACGACTATAATTTAATAACAAAAATATAATAAAACATTCCCCACATGTTTTGAAAATAGGAAATACCTTTTAGTAAAATATTTTCCCAAATTTGGTTTATTAATTCACGATCATCGTGATTAGAGAGTTGAAATATCGCCAGCTGAGCTTCCCAAATTTTATGCGGTTCGGCAAATTGGCTGTAGAGCTGAAAAATAATAAGAACATTAAAAAATACATATTTAAACATTTTAAAAATCACTTACATCGCCTAACGTGTACAGTCTGCTATTGAGTTTTTCAATATTATCGAGTTTCCCATCAAATTCAGCCGATGACAATAAATCTAATATCTGGAAAATTAAAAACAATAGCAATTGATATAAATGTTAAATATTAAATAAATTAAATAAAACTAGTTCGAAACAAACCATTTTTTGGATTTCTGCTACTTGTAGCAAGTCTTCAACTTCTCTGAGACTAGTAGCATTCAGAGCGGGTGTACTTAATTTTTTACTTCTCAAACAGGCCATCGCTCTGCCCAAATACATGAGACGGTCACTTAAAGTCAAACCAACACTAAAAAAAAAAATTCTATAATTTATATGTATTTTTTTATACATCATTTTAATAAAACCAACTAAAAATTAAGTAAACATGATCACAATAATACATTTTTTATAAAAACTATTATTTCCTGAATAATAAAATAAAGAAATGTAATAAAGAGTATTCATTACTCTGATTTTTTGGCTAGCGATGCCAAAACTTCAGCTGCTTCATTATAGTTGCCATTGTACTCATAATATCTACAGAGTACATCTTTTATGTAGTTATTCGAGTCGTCCGTTTTAGATTGGGATAACAAGAATTTCTCTAAACTATGATTTCCCATTTCAATGGTTTCTCTAATCAGTTTTTTTTCTATCAACCACCTGTATACTACAGTATGCATAATTTCATCTTCACATGTAATACATAATCTTATCAGTTCTGATATCTGAAATAATAATAATAGTAATATTATAATAATATAATAGAACATATTTAAGGCACCATACATTTTTAGTTGATTAAAAAACTAATAAAAAAAATCTCTTTAATAATTACCAAATTAGAAGATTGCTCCGGTGTTAATGCTGAATTTTCTAGTACTCCGGGTATAATATTAGGTCTAGTGGGAATAACTACTGAAGGATTTTTAACCATAATCGAATAAAGGTAATCCAAACTGGCACTAATTTCTTTATATACATCTAATCTGTTCAAAAATTTAATATTTTTATTAATAATATAAAATACAAATTAAACACTTGAGTTGTATTTAAAAGAAAAACTACCTCAACATATATGCACCATAACCAGGACTATCTCTATCCAAAATCATGCTGTTAATGAAATAATGACCGCCGAGATTTTTAGGATCGATTTTTTTGGCACATTCCCGACACATTTGGTATACGCCTTCCATGTACGCACAGTTTGTGTATTGAAGACAGACAGACGTCAAATTTAATTTGGGTGCAACTTCTTTTAAAACCTAAGAACATAGTGTTGTTATTAAAATTAATATTGTAATTTAAATAGTGTAAAATTATAATTATTACCATTAGTGATTGATATAAAATGCGTTTACGTTCGTCTTCGTTAATTGTCGATTGAGCCAACTTTATCATTTCGGAAGCCTGAAAAGTAATAAAAAATTTACTTTACAATAATTATTTCATATATATATAATTTTTAAACTTAAAATGTTTACCTTGGCACAAGCTGCATCTTCAGATTGATAAATAGATGGGCAGACTTGACGTAATTTTGTACTTATTGATTCTACAGATGAACTTTCATTTAAATATCTAAACATATAAGTAAAAAAATGTAGAAATTCTCAAAAAAAAATTTTTAATAATAAAATTCTTACGTATCCAAAAGTTTTTGTACCAATATTTGACACATTTCTTGATGAACGATAATTAAATCTTTAAAAATTACATTTTCGAGTACCATTTTTTCTTGCTAAAATATAACATAAAATTAATTTTTTTAATAAATTGGGCTTATGGTTTTGAATGGGTAATACAAATGTACGAGTACTCGCCAAGAATATTCTGGTTAAATCCCATATTTCTTATTTAAATGGGTACCCGTATAGTTTATTAATTATGTAATCGTAATATCTAATATAAAAAATATAATAATTGTAGCCAACAGAATAAATGGAGAGAACACCACACCAACCATTCAAGATGAGTAAAGTATAGGTAATTTTTCACAAAAATCTATTCATTTTAGACTATCTGTCATGTCTACAGCAAAAATTACAATTGTTTTTCTATCAAAACTACTTTGCGCAGGAGAAACTTATGAGGGCAGTATTTACTGTAGATTTACCTAATTTGTACAATACATAGATGATAAAATTATCTGTGTCATAGAGTTTTTTTATGTTTTATATCTATACTCACTAACTTTTATAAATAATAGAAAAAAAAGTCTAAATTATTCAATTACAAATATTGACTTCATGTTATCAAAAAAATATAAACGTTACGAAACAACTAAAATTCTTCTATGTACACTATAGAACTTTGGTAATTTTACTACAAGTAGAATCCGAAAAACTTTGTCTTCTACTCAACAAGTTTTCTGTCCAAAATATGGGCATTGTGGTTTTAACAATAATGAATAATTCAAAGAACTGTTTAACTTACTTCGTTCAGTTTGTTTGCAATAATGTAAAATTGATGTTCACTCAGCAATTTCCATAAATTAAACACTTCAGCACAGCGTGTAACCAACTGTTTTAGACAGTCAATTGATTTAGATTCAGAATAATAAGGGTCTTGTACAATTGTACGCCTGGACATGTCGGTTGGAATTTTTGTAAAGTTTGCCAACATTTTTGAATAATTATTCATGAATGTATGCAATGTTTGTAAATGACTGGCTACAAATGAACAATCGTCTGGAGATACTGTATTGACAATCTAACAAAATAAACAAATTATTAGACTCAATTACTTAAAGTACAAACATTTAAAAAAACAGTTATAGTATACATGATGACAATACATTTTGAAATCTTTGTCATATATTTATAATTTTACAAAAACTTACATATGTCTTGCCATCGGTAGTTTCCATATTAACAGCTTTAATATTCCATAACGGCCTGAGTAATCGACTGACGAACGCATACAGTCCATTGTGCTTAGGTGAATATTGAACTGAAGTGGTTTCAAAAGGTAGATTTATAATATTTGTTTGATTGACTACATTTGCAGTCATAGGTGTTGAAAATGTGCCTGGTCTAAAATCTGAAATTAGTCAAGTATACACAATTAGTCCAAAGATCGAAAAAAATATTTTATTAAAGAAATACAGTAAATTTTAAATGCAAAATCTTACTATTATTTTGAATGCAACTTCTAGAATCATTTAATGTATCTTGAAAATTTTCAGTCACTAATTTTGGTTCGCCGCCATGAGTAAAGAAAGCACGAGTAGCATATTCTTTTATCTGAACACATTAAAAAAATTAATACCGAATATGACCAATGACCAAAATATAATAGTTAAATAAACTATAAAACAAACCTTTATGTTTTTAAGAGACTGATCACAAATAATTGTTAAACACGCAACACAAGCTTGATCATCAGAAAAAGTTTTGAAATAACTCTTGATAGCATCCGTTTCTGATCCTTGGCTCGCCGCTAATAATTCACAAAGCGTATCATATGGCCGCAGCATTTCAAATATTTCTAAACCCTATGATTTAAATAGAAATACAATTTTTTTTAATGTAGATATTTAATATGTCAACAATAATTATTCAACTGATATTGTTATTTTTATATTTTTTTTACAATACTTCCTAAATAATTTATTGTTTTTTTTCTTAAATATTAAGAACTGAATAAATATTTATAAGCTTTTTTAATTAAATTACATGAGAATAAAGTAGGCATTATAGAGAGGCAACACCATTATATACATATACATATAATGGTTATATAAATGTTTAATAGTTATATAAATAATTACCTGAGGTGCTAATGTAATGTACTCTTGTCGGTTTTCAAACTGTTGGCGTACGATAAGTGGTGGTTGTTGAACACCCGGATCGTTATATATTAATAAATTTGGTCCTATGTTATCCAAAGCCAATGGGCAAATATCCAAATCGCTAATAAAATACCTTTCACTAAAATTTGGACTAAATGCATACTCGTCTGGAGAAATACACCACAACATTGGTCTGTAATTGGTAATGTCAGTATCACATGCCATTAGTATCGTACCTGTAATATTAAAACAAAAGAAACATTAGTGTTTTATTTATTAAGCTAAAAGGTATTTTAATAAAACTAAATAAGTATTTTGCTCACCTCTATTATACAAAACATGTTGAACACTACTTGGTTTGGGTTCTCCTATAGATCTGTTATAACCAGGTGGTAAACGAATATGTATGAGTTGTAATGTATATGGTCTTGTGGAACTTGTTATACCATTTGAAAAATATAGTCTAAACCCAAACTTTGAGACCACCATAAAATGAATATTTGAAGATTCGGTTTCTTCTACAACTTTTATGCTACTTAGTGTGGTCATTTGAGCCACTTCCAGAGTTCTGAAATCCAAAATTATACATTTATAAAATAAAAATCTCAATACATTAATACATTAATCTCACACCTCAGCATTTTAGACACTTGATGTTCTAAGTTAGAGTGTGACAAAGAAACAACCCGACTAGTCGATTTTCCATCATATCCCAAATCATATAATTCAACAGAACTATTTTCAGATAGTGTGTAAATAATATGTCTTGTGTTATCTACAGCTATTTCTACAATAGCAGATGGTTCAGTTATGGCGTACGACAAGAATGATGGTAGAATATAAGATAGTGTGCCTGCTGAGTGACAAACTTTCTTACAACGCCGTCCACTTCCGATTGAAAACCATCCCAAATCTTTCTATAAAATTAATATTGTTTTATTTATTGTAAAAAATGTTTTTTTTTTTACAACAGATATTATAACATAATTAGGTATTATAATATATAATATGTGTTGACTTATTACCCAATATTCTATTTCAAACAGGTTACCATCTTCACTTCCTAGGAAAATGCGTCCATTATTTGTTCCAACAATCATGGATATAATTGCGCCTTCAGTGGGAACTTCATAAATTGTATCTGTTGTTAATTCTAACTGTTCCACTGTTCTACCTACACATAAAAGTTTGTGTTACATAATTTTATACTATAACTGATAATAAAAAAAGTTGTAAAACACTAAAATTTGTAATAAAATAAAAAGTGTATAATTCAATTGAATATAACACTAACCATACTTTACCTTCAAGATTTGTAATTTTTTTAAAAGTCACACCCAATATCGCAATATTTAAACCAGTAGCCAAAACTAATAAATGTTTAATGTGAGCTTGAAAAACATTTGGTTTCGGTGTAACCAATGCAACAGCAAATATTGTTGAATTCATACCATCAAAATATGACAAGTCCGCTCTAATAAAAAGACAACAAATAAGAGTAAAAATATATAAATATAGTTCAACTATAAAAATTACCCTTCATCATAATCCCATAAGAAGAACTCTTGATCAATCGTAACCCAAACTCTATTAATCTCAGGAAAAATTCCTAATTTACGATGAAAATTTTGAGCATCTAAATATCCAAATAAACAGTTAAGTTTGTGGTTACTATATATATTACATTTTAATACAAATTTTTATTTAAGACCCCTACCATTCCACTGCTCTAATAATGTACCCGGTAATGGTATTTTGTGTTTCAATTTAAGTGGTGTGATTGAAGGTAAACCTGCTGAATCCTTAGGATAATCATATTCAGTTGAGCCACTAACACTGTAGCCTGAGTACAACAAAATATATTCATATTATTAAAAATTTGTTTTTTATTATTTTCCGAAAACATATCTAACTAAATAATACTAACTATTATTGACTATTTGCATTTTGTCAAATAGTGTAGGGAATGAATTTTCAATTATAAAAAACTTATCCAACATTTTCCCTGAAAGTTCTAAACTTTCTTTTGTAGTTATAGATTGGTTAGCCAATGACACAGATGAATTATCCATGGTTCTTGAAATATTCATGGAGGAACTAGAAAATTTAGTTTAGTTATATAAAAACACAAACTTAATAATTGGATTGTTTCATTAATATTTTTGCTCATCAACGAAATAAATGTTTTACTAATTACTTCATCACTCAAAAAAGTTTACAATCGACTAATGAAGATAAAATAAGTTCAACTTGATATTAAAATAGTTAACTACACAGATATTGACGTTTATGAAAATAAAAACTTATTTAAAGTACTTATGAGTCTTACTATCTATCATCAGTGTAAAAACAGACAACCAACAATTATGAACTATAACAAGTTTTGAAGCAGTAGTCAGTAGTCAGTACCAAAACAAAATTCCGTTAAGACTAGCGGTTAACCTCAAAAAGAACAATGTATGAGAATGGTGTTAGCACCGATTTGATTTTAATTTTTGATAACAAAAAAGTTCAATTGATAAGATAATAAAGTGATTCCAAGTCAACAATAAACAGCATGTTCATTTAATAAACCACATGACCGGAAATCGGAATAACTGGAAATTGGAATCGGGATATTGTTTAGTTCATACTGCTCAGTCGATAAAATATGATAAGTTTCTCTTAGGCAAAAATCAAAATATACTGCAAACAATTAGTATGATTAATGTATACATTAATTTTAATTAAATAATTACTAAACTAATTTAAATTTAATTGGGTTGTTAATATTTGCTTATAATATGGACACTAAACATCGGTAATTTGAAATAATAATAAGGATATATAAGAATTTAGAAACCATTACCTAGTTATAACATGATAAATATTTAATGTAAAGTCTAGGAAATTGTGAAGTTTGTGACAATGATCCTGCCAAGTATTGCTGTCCTAGATGTGAGCTAAAAACATGCAGCTTGGTGTGTGTTAATATTCATAAAAGAGAATTAGAATGTGATGGAAAAAAATATAAAACTAGTTTCAAACGATTGGATAAATTTACTGACAACGACATGAGTCAAGGTACACGGTATAAATTATAACAATTTATACCTCTAATACTATTTTTTCATAATATACTAGTAATAATTTGTCATGCTTATTATGAGACAACTTTGTATTATCTCTTTTTTTTCAAGTTTATTTATTTTAATAAGTTGCATTATTTTAATACTAGATTATAGGCTTATGAATGAATTTATTGAAGCAGTTGGAGAATTTAAAACAAAAACACAACGTCTTTCTAATTTCTCACCTGTAAGTTAACATTTATATAGTGTAAGAATTTTTTTTTACATAATAATAAGTATTAAAAGATATTTATCTTCTCTACTTTATAACTGTACTTAAGCCTTCTGTTATTATTTTATTTATTAGGGTTTTCGTAAATTACGGTATCAAGCTTATCGTCGTCGAATACGCTTGCAAATATTACCAAATTCTACTATGAACAAAAACAATACGTCATTTGTCAATTGCAAGACCAACAAAATGTTTTGGCGTGTTGATTGGATATTTCATGATACCAATGTTAAATTCACAGATCACAAGTAATAGTGTAGTACAGAAAATAAAGCATAACATTTTTATTCATACAACTTTATTTTTCTCTAGGGTTTTAGAATACGACAAACTCAATAATCTAGCAAGAAAATATTTCACACCAGAATCTCATAGTGAAGAAATCAAAGAAAAACTACAGTTTTATATGTCAGCTGGTGTAAAAGAAGTAATGTTTTTAATGAAAACACCTTATGGAAAGTAAGTTTTAATGTCTAAGTGTATTTTGAATAAATCAGTAAGTTGAACATGGTTATGTTTGGGTCACTTGGAGTAAGGTTACTGGTTATTTTTTGATAGTTGCAGTTTATCAAAGAAAGAAACTATTGATGTAAGTTATCAATTGACGAACCACTAGCACCTTGGTTGATGTGTTAAATTCTATAGGATACTTTAGTTATTAACGGTGGCTAGCCACCCATTTATAGAAACAAATCCCATTTATATTAAAATAATATTTATTATGAAATTATTTTTCAGATATTATGAAGTTGATCCAGAAGAATCATTAGTGTATAATTTAAGAAATAAATCAATATTAGAGTATCCAGAAATTCTGATAGTTTTATCGATTCATAAAGACACGTTTAGTGAACTTCTTTACGTTGAAAGGCCTATGTTTAATAAACATAGTAATAAATAAACTGTATTTAAGTTTTTGTGTGTTTGATCTTAGACTTGGCCTCGTAATTTATTGGTCATTATTATGTTATTGTGGTAATTATCCATCTCAAAAAGTTTCAATTTTTTACCAGCATTTTTATTTTTATTTGATTAATAATTATGTTTCATATTATAAAATTGTATTGCAATACTGTAACAATAATGTACTATGTATCCTTTATCTTCTTATATCTTATATGTTGTAACAACTAAAAGTGTAATTTTCAATACAGTTACCAATCAATTTTTTTAAATTAACATCGTATTAGTATTCTTTTAAATTACCCTTTCAAATTGTATCTATACTCTTTTGAAATTAATTACAGTAAATAGAAAATATGAAACTTAAATGTAATAACATCTTTATATTCTTTCATATTGTTTGATTATTAATGAAGATGAAAATACCTAGATTTCTCTCCAGAAAAAATACCTTAACAATAATAATAAATAAATACAATTTTGTAGCTTTAAAAAAAAAATATTTGAAAATAAAAAACAATTCAATATTAGTCTTAAAACAGAATAGGTTTAGTACTTAACTGTTACAGCCATATTGTGTTGCCCAAAACGTAATTTGAACAAATGTGCTATTAAACTAATTTATTTAGCACACATCTGAATAATGACAGTATCTAAAGCTCGGCCAGTTAAATTTTCACCAGTACCTTTCTCTTAAAACATAGATTATATTAATCAAAGATATATACTACCTATGATTAATATTATCTTAACTAAATAGATTCATCTAATGTATGTATCATGTTTACTGAAAACATTAAGCACCAATAGATGCATCGTTTTGTATGTGCATAGTAATTTCATCCATTATTAACCCATAAGCGCCTAGCGTTGCCATATGGCAACATCCAATTTTTTCAAATATTTAAGTACACAATTTTATATATATTTTTTTTTTTTAATTATAAAAATAAGAAACAAGCACCCAAGACACCAATTATTTAAATAAAAAATTCCAAAAAAGAACTCCGGCATTAATGGGTTAAGGAAACCAAGTATAGCCGTTTGATCCCCTTGATACATATACAAGAATACAATGCCTTGATGAACACCTAATTTCTTGTTTTACCACACGTATTATATTCTCAAGTCTCAAAACTAGTTTTTTAATTTCTCACACATATACTCTATTATTTTTACATACATGATCATACATTATTATTGTTTAAAAAAAAAAATATATTTTACGTAGGTCTTTTTTTTTTTAATTTTAGTACATCATCAAAATATCAAGTGTAACATGAAATTCTGATAACCCTTGTGTACCAATATGATATAGGATAGGGCTATGTTCTCGACGCGCCAGCGTTTTAAGACCATATTATTAGTTATGCACTAGTGTTCATTAAAACTAAAGCTCCTTTAAATAAATAAATACTCGATGAATGACAAATTAGAACAATCAAGCGAAGGCGCTTCGTGCCCTTCTAATAACATGTAGCAGTAAATTATTAATTTATTACCAGATTATCCTTACCGCTTACGATTATCAAAAGTGGAAAGACCGTAGTTAAATTTAGATGCCTGTCGGTACGCACTAATTATTTGTCTAAATTTATTATATATTTATATGTTTATAATTTTTGTATCATTTCGCCTGTGAACGACATAACTCACTTATTTCTAATATTATAATAGGTACTGTGTAAATATTCTTGATATTATTGGCCTCCAAATTCCGACTTCTGTACTGGGGAATATAATATATAGTAGAGTTTAATAAATAAGCACATTTGTTCATTAACTGTATACATTTATAAAACCGGCGTTTTTTTCGACCAACTGACAAAATAATATTAAAATCTGTCGACCGACGCTATTCCTGGTGATCCTCCTCGTAGATTAAAGAGAAGATGGTGTCGTGACTTAAATGAAAATTAAATACTAATCATAATTAACCAAAGACCTATGTAAAGTGTCGCCATTGGGTGGCTAATTTTCTCACGTGTTTCATGTCAAAAATAACTTACTTCCGCATACATGCTTATTGTAATAATTAAATTACAGATTTTTGTTTTTAAAAATAAAGTTTAAAAAAAAATCTATCGAAAATTCAATTTGACTAATTTTTTAAAAATATAGAAAAATTAATGTGTGCATGCACTGCGCAGCCGGCTGTAACGCGTTTTAGTTTCTGCGCTCGTGTCATCTATTTTGGAACGGAGTATAATATGTGCTAGGTATTTTTTTAAGACCTCGGATTTGCATGATATTATGGTTTGAAATTTAAATTATAACTACGAGTGTTAGACTAAGAGGAAACTTTAGAATTCAAATAGTTTAATATGTATGTTAATTCAAGCAAGATGTACAGCATTTCTTTGGGGGGGGGGGGGCTATAACCCTTACACAAATTCTGAACATACAAACTTGTGGGGGAAACTCCCCCTACACCCGACCCGTGTTCAAACCTATTTTTTTATTTATCTATAAGCCACATGAATTCTAAGGTATACGCAATTATAGTATAATGTACTGTTCCTATATTTAATAAAAACGCTTTAGTTACCTAAACAACATACCTATAAAAGTAGAAAAACGACCACAGTAATCAAAATATTGGAATTAATATGTGTATAAAATAAGACAATTTTCCATTTTTTTGTAGGGGAGGGGGTTATCCAAGCGATTTGACCCATATATAATAACAAGAACCTGCGTCACCAATATTCGGAACATTTGTGTTGTTTTAAGAAGCAAGAACAAAGCGGTTTTTAAAAAGAAACTCTTTTATTGATACAAAAGTGCAATTTAATGTCCCAAGTTTTAAAATTACAGTTAATTAGATTTTTTTAATTAAATAAATGCGTTGAGCAAAAATGTTAGTGCTATTCATTTTTTAACGATATGCGTTTGAAGTACACAATTATTTTTAACTATTATTTAATTAGTTCAATTTAAATACCTCTAATTCCTTAAAAAAAAATATAATAATATATGAAAATGCGAAAAAAACTATTTGGCCATTATATACCACCAACATTATAAAATAACATACAATCAATTAAAAAGCAGATTATTGGACGAGATGAAAGGTTTTTCCCTGAGCCCGGATACATCCGTTCGAATGAGTCTGAAAAAAAAAACATTTATAGCTATAGCTGCTATAAGATAAATGTATGTATAGAATATAGATGGCAAAAAAAAATTAGTTCTTTATACATATTCATCATGAAATTAGTTAGTATTTCGATCGTACAATTAAGATAATGGTTTACTGCTGCCTTTGCTGGGTTTCAAGTTTTCAAATGACTCACATATAGTGTATGTATAGTCCTATAGACTACAATTTATACATAAAAAAAAAACTAAAATAGGTCTTTACTCTTTCTACCCCACTTGAAACGTGAACTTCGGAGGGGGACACAGGGGCATTACCTCTTGAAGAGAGAAGTCACCTATGAGTCTATAATATTTTAATATTACGGACTAAAGCCCTTCCCCCAAAAACAATCCATAGCCTGTCTATGCCCACTTTTGGCATCATTTAAAAATATAATAATAGAATAATGTATGGAATTCGCATACCCGTTTAAATGAGGCGTCAACGTGACCATATCTTTAGCATGAACTTGAGCAGTCCTAGCCCTCGCCAAAATTGCCATTACTGTTCTCTTTGACGGACTCATTGCCACTTTTGAAGATTCACCTCCGGTTAGCAAAGGTCGTTTTCTTCCAGGGGTTTCTGTTAATTCATACTCATAATAGTACATAACATATAGGTATAGTTAAACTCATTACATCCGTTTTTATTATATTATACAGAGGATAAGCTATACATAGTATGACATTCTACCATTTCCTAACAACAGCGACCTAAATAGGTCGTAAATATGTAGGACTTTGTCACTGTGGCGAATTTTTTATAAATTCAAGAATTAGTGTAAAAAAAAAAGTGATTACGACGAAGAAAAAAATGTACAAAATAAAATGTACAAGACTATTTCGAGAATTTAAACTTTTAAATTTCTATGGTTTTTAATTTTTTTGAATTTAGTTTTATGATTAATAGACATATTTACAATAAAATGAGACGTCTCGTTAAAGAGTTTTAACGGTACTTTCCAGTTCTTTTGAATAGGGGTTTAAAGAGAAAAAATGTCTACCTTCATTATTTTTATTTAATCCGCAATGCCACTTGCCAGCGATCAATTAAAAGTTCTAAATGCAAATAGCATTGAATAATAACAGTTATTTACAGTTTTGTTGTCGAGCAATACCGTGATATTACAATATTGTGCACTGTAGGTTCATATTATTATACTATCATAATCGACAATGAATTTTACGAATATCATGAATGTAAAATTTTTTTCAATTAAAATTATTATAGTATCGGAAATGAAGCGTAAATACACATGTTATTTTCTCGTACAAGTTGTAAATTATTTACCTATGGAATCCTACATAGTAAATTGATTACATTTGAAAATGGCTTTATCGCCAGCAAGCAATACATATTAAATATAATATATTTATATACTCGTTTTGTAGTACCTATAAGAGGTGGTAATAACATAGGTATTGCGCACTTCATTAAATATTTAATAGTGCACCATTTTCAGCTGTGGCTTCGTTTGCTGTATAGGTAGGTATTAATTATTATAATACATATATATATCACGCTATACAGTTGCCACTCGGTTGTTTATAATGCATACAGCATAGTACATCACTTTAATCCAAATGCATATTGGCCATACCCGAAATTCTAATTAGTGTTTGATCGGCACTGTGTTTAATGTGCACAGGTGAGCATTCACTGATCGGTTGAGTAGAACAATCATTTTGGAGGTTGTCGTCCATAGAATGTAATGAAGATCTGCTTTCGCCCGTTTCCGAATCAGTCGCATCCGTCGAAAAACCACTTTTTTGCAATACTTGCATTTCCCACATTTGCTCTTGTCGGATCTCGTCGTTATAATCCTGCGTCAAACATACATTTTAAATTAATCAAATCTATGTTTCATTGTTAATCATTTTCGTGCGTAATCCCTCGTACAGTTATATTATATGTATATTATTCAGAGGTGTATGTACGCTGTACGGTGTAATCGGGATCGGATTACTCGGGGGGTAATAAAAAAATATTTTTACCACAAAGAGATTATAGCGAAGCAAAACAAAAAAAAATATATTGTTGTTGTTTAAATGAAAAATACCTACATAATATTAAGTGGATATGTTATTTTACACCCTGAGTAAAAAGTAAAAATACAAATAATTACCGGAACTAAAAAACGCCGGACTTCCGTTAAAGCATATGCGATTCGAGCATGAGCTTCTGCGGCTGGAGCAAAAGCTGTAATTTCGACGTGAAGATCATCTTTGAGATGTGCGAATTTCGAATCACCCGAGTTTCGCAATTTGTCCTCCTACTCGATAAAAATAGGGTATTATCATTCATTTGCAAGATTATTGTCATTGTTTAATATAAAATTACAAACACAAAATAAAGCTGCGATGTCTATGTAATATATATATCAGTAAATTTTACTTTTTATGTAATTTATATTTTTCTTTTTTGTTTAAGCATAAAGATAATTACGTTTTTTATTGTATTGCAATATATATGAGACGGAAAGGGAAAAGAGACTTCTTGTCGTGAGAATCCAAATCGCAAGAGAGGCCAAAACATCGATCACGGTTAGAAACAAATTTAAGAAAAACATATATTATGTTATAAGCATATATTAACATATATTATGTCTGCTTAGGGGCACTTTATTTTAATTTTTGGTTAAGTTTCATTCCTTAAGTATGTAAAATAAAAAGTTGGCAACATTTCATGATTTAAAGCGTTTTTTCAAGAAATATTCATTTTCCAAAAATAAATATAACTCGCTAATTTTCAATGTTCAGAAATTAGTGCAGAATTTGGGAATACCAATAAATCAAGTAAATCGAGTTAGAATTTAATTCATTTGAGAGTATAAAACCCTTTGTCCCTTAAACCCGGAACCTATACATCATATAAAGATTAGAGAGTATAATGCACATCATTTACTTTGTGTAAGGCACCTGATAGGTTGATAACTTCCTGTCATTGCAAGAACAATTGTACTACACAAACGAGTCGGTAATCAATACACTCGTCTAGATACATGCTATTATATTATATTATGCAATCTTACCTTACTCTTGTCTCGCATTGATCCTCTTCCGAGTATTGCCATTTTCGTGATAGTTTCTTCTTGAAGTCTTTTTAGCGAATTTCCCTTAGGCCCCAGCAGTTTACCGACAAAATTAAACTAAAGTTGTGTAATATAAAGGCTGAAGTATAATATAATGAGCTTCATATTATGGTTGGTAACATAAGAATTAATGTAACCAAAATTTATGTGAGCTAACAATAATTATGGTCGATATGTTTATAGAACTAATACATAATTAAATATTTATTATTTGTATTAATTAGGATATTTTATTAAGTAATTTATTAAAAAAGACCTTGGCTGCTCACAGCTGAGGTCATAAGTCTTAAATTAAGTAATTATGCAATCATAATTTTAATATTATACTATACAGTAAATAAATAAAGCATTAAAACCTAACTATAATTTATAACGAGAATTATATTTTATATGTTTAGGGACATGATTAAATCCCAGGCTTATTGAATATTTAAACATGTCAATAAACGACATTATTGCTTTGCTTTTAGAAATTTTAGTTATCGAAGTTTAAAGTATATATTTCCTTCAGTTAATTTTAAATAATGTCTCCCTTGTGCATACCTTTGGATGGTCTCTAACAGGTACCGCAACTTTAACAGAAACCTTAATTGGCTTGTCTCGAATTACATCCACCATTCGTAGAGTATTTTCTGATTTTCTTTCACTTTTTAACTCTGAATCAATAAAAATAATTGCATAGAATACAGTATTATTATTTATTACAAGTTATCAATTATGATGTATTAATTTTGGACCCCCATTTTAATATAAATATATATATATGTGCGTGTGTGTGTGTGTGTGTTATAGACTACGCCAGTTGCCTAATATTACCACAGTAATTGGTATTACTTTATTTTACTGGTTAAATTATTAATTTGTTTATAAAATTAGTTTTTAAATAGGTATACTTGTATTGAAATTTTAACCAGACTTATTTAATTATAAGAAAAATAATTAAGGTATTGTAATTTACAGAAACACATAATTGGTTTGATATACCTACGGGCCATCCATCTTACGTCGTGTTCTATTAATTATTATTATTACTATTATTATTTATCATACAGTTAATTTTTAAATTATTAGTAAACCTGCTGAATACAAAAACCCGAAGAATCTAAAGTGAATTTTTTGTTGCATTCAAATGTTTGATAATTATTTTTCAACAGTATATTTGGAAAAATGTATTTAAAGTAAAAAGGCGGCTTTTACAGTTGAAGTATGGATTATGTAACTTAATGTGTCTAATAACATTTTTTAAGTAATAAAATTATTATATTTTAATTTAGTTGATTTAAATCGTCAAAAATAATTAAATTGTTAAAACCACGAGTACTATATGGATAATATATTTCCACAGAAAAGTTTTAAATAAAAAGTGTTATTCGTAAGTGCGATAGTTTTACGACTTATGAAGCTAGTATGTATATGCATTTAGAACGCTGTACAGTACCAGGCACAGAGCTCGGCTAAAAACTGATGTACATTTCATTTTAACACGCTAACCTGACGCTCCAGTAACTTTTTAATGATAATCGAAAAATGATACCAAATCGTTACCATCGTTTACAAAAACGTTAAAAGCCTAAAACAAAATGCAATAGTAATTGAAAAATATTTTCTGAACTCTATATAACCTATGTCCTATGTGATTTATATAATAACGCATTGCAAGGATTAAACTATGGAGATTTTTTAAAATAAAAAAGGCAATGTGTTTAGTAGTTTAACTTTAAAACTATCTCTTTCTTTTGTGAAGGTTTTAGAAAATATGGTTTGTTGTTTAAACACAATGTTTTATTTTAGAAGGGGTGAAATTGAGTGGCATTCGCCTCTCCTTTGAATATTTTATAACATTATAAAAAAACAATAGAGTTGATCATCAGATCACTATTGTTTACACGTTAAAAATACCTAAAATTAATAGCATTATCATAATGCCTAAAAAATTAAGATAAATAAAAGTTCAGAATAAAAAGCCTTTTATTATTTTATTTAATGATAATAATCGATTACCTGATTGAGTCAATGCTGTTTGTTTTTTATTGCTATCGATATCCTCTAAAGTATCCATGCACGACATAATTTATTTTCGATTATAATTTACACAATGAATTCACTTAAAATCGTGTTTAAAATATTGCTTTTAATCAATTCTCGTATACAATTATACCTAAAAAATAAGTCATTAGTTTTATTCTGTTTTTTTAAGTTGTTTATTATATAATAAGCAGAAGGTTTTGAAAATACTTATGATGGTAGAGAACTTTGAAGCTGCGATTTATCCCAAGAATAAGAATACTTGAGTTTTCCTTTGCGGTTTAGATTTAAGAAGAGATAATAGTGTACTTCTATTTCACTTTCTTTTGACAAGCCAAAAAAACCCTGTCAAAAACGGCTTACACTAAAATGAATAAACAATGAAAAATATTTTACGGCGTTTATTTTTCAGATTAAGAGCTTAAACGTATTCCCATTGAGTATATGTATTGTATATACTCAATGGTATTCAGCTGACAATAGTTAGCGTAATTTGGTTTTACATTATTTGAATTAATAAATTCAAACTTACTGCAAAGTAAGCAAAGGCTCAGAAAAGTATCTTATGTTTATTTTCTGCTATATTTTTAAAACTTAAGTACGTCACTACTTTCCATTAGGTACATTTTTATATAGTTAAACATAAAACAGTAGTTGGTTGATGAAATAGATCAGAAAATGGCTAATAGTTAAGAGTAACTTCTGTTTCTTGAGAACATTTAGAGAAAGATTTAAAAAAATTATATTTTTTAAGCGATTTCAAAGCTTTATAGTTACCTACTAATTGAATGCGTTATATATAACCAGAAATATTGCTAAAATGCTACAGATTCCAGAACAATATTTTTATTTGGTACTGCGTTTTTTGATAGAATTCAATAGCCAGAACAAATTAATAATAATTGAAATTAGCATTAGAATATAATTTGTAACCCCGTAAAAACAAATATTATTTTTCTATAACAATAACTGAACACGTAAAAACTAGTTACTATCATTAATTATTTAAATTTTTTTAACAATATACAATTAATTAAATATAATATGTGATTTGTCACATATTAATAATGCATATTAAGAATTCTAATTAAACTAACTTAAATATAAATTAACTCGCAATACTTACGGATTACTATGTACATACGTAAAATACAGTCGGTTATATCTCTTTGAGCTATACTTCAGCCAGATGAAAAGTTAAACTTGTACTGAGGACTAAACTTAAAAAAAGGGTTGCGTTACCCTTACCGACAGAGTGCGATAATTGCGCTATCTGGTTACGCGTGTTATCCTGCAAACTGTATATTTTAAAATATATGAAAAATAGATTCCACTAACATATATAGGATGGGGTGGGCTGGTGGCGATTTAACCCCCGAAAAAATGTATACGAAGTCATACCCCTTAAGTTAAAATTGTTCGTTTAATCCATAAATAATTCCTTTAACAATTTAAACATACTTACAAATTTTAAATAAGTTTAATTTATGACGATGAAAAATTGGCTATTTGTAAAAGCAATTATAGCCTTAATCAATGTAAGTATAGTTAGGTATTTGTCATTTATTAATATGGTAAAGAACACCTGTAATCATTATTTTAATTAGTGCTATTTAAGAGATATTTCATGATATATTTAATTGTATATCACTACCGCTTAAAAATTACTTATGGTTCGTACTCTTTTATAAGATTATCATGAATTTTTTTAATAAAAAGTTTTTATGACTATGTTATTGATTTTCTAGGACAGGGTGATTTAGTGTGTTAATTCAATAAGAAATTTATAATTGGCATGAATGAAAAAAAAAGTTTGGCATCAGAATGTACAAATCATTAGTTTTCAGTAGCGAATGACCTTTTGAATTAGTGTTTTTAATAACAACTTCTTGTACAAAGTGCACGTATAAGTTTATACTTGGTCAAACAATTTAAAGTACGTACGATGCGTAGTGAGTACATTGCTTGATGTAATACTCATACATCATGAATGTTAGTTTTATTTAAAAATCGTTAAGAAAGACAAATGCGCTTTATGAAAATTTTTTTTAACGGTTCTATTGTTTGCTGGTCTTATGAAGAAATGTCCCCCCAAGAGCTATATAACAGTAAGCAGTAAGAGCAGTAAGCAGTAAGCACTATAAAAATAATGCCTCGTGGTGCCACCATGTAGTGTTTAAACAACAACATTATTATAACAACTTTTGCTCTAGGACAAAATAACTGCATAATATATAATAATATGTATAATTATTTAACTTGACCAATATATACTAATATATATTTACCCTAATAATATTATCATGATTATTAATTAGGTTTAATAAGCGTGATATTCTGTTGTCGCTTTTTGTGAAATATCTGATTAACTCGTACAATGTTTAGCACAATGAATCGAGAATCTTTTTGTTTGTACTCAGCGCACTAATTTTCATTTGCTTTTCCGTTTTCAGCTTCCCTCTAAATGTTTTAAATGTTGACATAATTACATAAATACCTGCATCACGTCTGACAGTGATGAAGCGAGAATCTACTGAAATCAGAATATTAAATGCATATTGCATACATTTTATTGTCTTACTCGATTCTCAATTAAACTCATTAGTATTTCGTTTCTGTCGAGTTCCTTTTAAATAACGAAGTACCTTAGCTTATTGTGTGAACAATACTCGTTATACACAATTAGGTATGATATTGTCAAGAATTATTTAAGTATTATCGAGTTTTAAATTAAATGTGAATGTAAAAAAAAAATTAACTACATAATTTCTACTTAACAAAAATTGTAATTCTAACTCGAAGTTTTTCATTTTCTAATGTGTTATTTCATATTTATAAACAAAAAAACAGCATAGGGGGTCGGGGCGTAGTGGGGACGGGGTGGTCTTAAGTCTCCTTGAATTATTATATCTAACTGAAAGTGATAAAAATCACTTACAAATAAAAGTTTCGATGCGAATCTGAAATGGTAAAAATACTGAAATCGGTAAAAAACATATGACAAATTATATTTTGAGCGCTACGAGATAATACGATTGATTGACAGATTGATCGTTTTTCTATAATAATTTGTTAACAATATGATGAAAATATTTTCAAATACATGTTAACTGTTGAATTACTCAACCGTATTTGCAACCTATAAATTTACAACGCTCAAAGTTCAATTATTCCCTTTTTTTGGGGGGTTTACTTACTAAACAAAAGTTTAATACAGATTTTTTATGAAAATCATACTATATATGACTTAGTCCAAGTCTAGATTTAACTCGAGTCTAATTTTCAGTAAAAGAATTAACCCATTACCCATTATGTCCTTGCGTACCGACGTGATAATAATTTGAAGTTACCATGTAGTAACACTAGGATAGTCAATAGAAAAAAAAGAGTCAACATTTGAAATTACATATTAGAAAAAAAAATTCGAACATAATGGCTATTTCAAAAATATTTAAAAGCGTAAAAACTAAAAATGATTAATAAATATATGTTTGGTCGTACAATGTTAAAAACATTTTACGTTAATTTTTAAAATTATACATTTTTAAGATGAATTCCAGTGTCATATTTATGTTTATAATAATTTATACTAATCAAAAGAAATCATATTGTCATAGATTATTGATTAGAATACCAACTTATTTGTAAAAATAATACAATTTTCTTCCTTCGTCTTTAAACTGTATTTATGTTTGTACCTGCAAACCAACATAATTAAAATCAAATTATAATGACGGCCGTTGAGTAATTAATAAATCCTCTTATATACGTTAAATATCAATAGTTGAGGTAGCACATCATTCGCTGGCATGCTTTGTGTGTTCTCCACTTTTTTTAGTTACTAAGCAATATCTTTTATTATAATATTCTAAGGTGTAAATTAAAATTATTCTTTTCTATGTGTATTACTTTTTATAATAGTACCTATCTAAATGATCTAAAAATCGGTTGTATTTGGCTATCTTCCCTTGTTTATTCTGATTCACCATAGACTTTTTTATATACTTTATAAAACAATAATTGTTTATCTATCTCGAACACTCGGTGCAAAGTCTATATGTCTATTCAAATTTCAAATATCAATATTACATACTCGTATTATTACATTACATTTGGTCCAATTTTATGGTTAGGCAGACATAGGTAAACCTACAGCACGATGTAGAGAAGATAAGGTGACACCACTCAACTTCTTATCAGTAAAAATCTGGGGTAGAATGCTTCAGGCATTTTGGTAGTTCAGCTTCGCTGTACAGGTGGCGCCACCATTCGCCCGAAGGCCGATATTTTCTATGCGGCTTATGGACAATAAACGTTTTATTTTTTATTTTTATGTTAATTATTCTTTATTTGGAGTTTTTATTATTTTTATTGTCTTATTTAGTAATAAGTAATTATTTTTTTAACTTTTTAATTGCGAAAACTGTGTTTTTTAACGGCATTAAAGTAAATATTAGCACTAGAATATAGCTTTCATAATTAATTAAATTAAATTTATTCTGATCTAGTCTTTGTCCAGCACAGTTATTTATTTTATTATTTTAGCTACTCTACTAATATAAAGTAGTATTTCAATAATAATTAGTCATTAGTATACATGGTCATAATTTCTAAATTCTAGATCAGAGTAATAGAATAAAACTATAGTAGAGCAAATATTGCCAATAAATTATAAATCTAAAAGATCTACATTAGTCAATGAATGTTATTTGTAAAAATGAATAAGAACAACAGTATTTTATAATTATATATGCCGCGGTTTATTATGTAGACACAAAATATAAACAATTATTTGTGATGCAAATATCATCTCTAGGAACACAATGCAGAGAATATGTCGCTACTTCGTCCCTAGGCATTGCACGTATGGTTGGGCTTGAATTACACGGTAGTCGGGCTTTCGAAGACACTTAATTGGTGTTTATTGAAATAATTAATATCCACCTTACACAAGCGATGCTTATTTTTCGGGGGTAAATTAAAATAATCGGAAAGAATGTATTGTTATGTACAGTGGTGTATTACAGGGGAAGGGTTCGGGTTTAAACCCCCCAGAGCCAAAAAAAATTGTGTTTTAAGTAATATATTATAGGTATTTATTATATAACTGTTACAATGTTACTCTCTGAAGTAATTTAGAACTTGAAGTAAATAAATAATAATTTAATAATTATATTTTAATTATTAAGTGTTAAGGGGAATTGCGGCTACCTAAGTAAGAATTAAAATATCTTCGGAACTATAAGTCCAGAAATTTCGTTATTCTTTATAACAAATTATTCTTTAGACCTTCAACAACTATAAACTCAATTTGAAAAAACTTCTCTGGTGCCTAAAATTCGATATAGGAAGGGGGAGGGAGGGGTTGAGAAAAATTTTTTTTTTACATAATACGTGTTATTATATTATATATCGTATAGAATAATTTCATATATTGTTATAAAAGGATAGTCATCGTTCGACTATAAACGTATTTTGTGGAATAGGAATTAGAATAAATAGTACATTTAATTAGACTACATATACGAATATTGTGGTTTTTAAAATAATATATAATCTATAGTCCTGTAATCAAATAAAATTACATGTAATATATTTTTATTTAGTAATAAAAATGACAGTAACGTATAATAATATGTAAAAAACCCTATTAGCTCCATGTAAAAGTCGGCCTCCGGGCAAATGGTGGCGCTATCTACGTGACAAAATTGTACTACCAAAATGCCGTAATTTCTTGACCCACTGATTTGGTTGGAGTGGTGTCACCTTATCTTCTCTACATCGTGACCCACAGGCAGTACATACAGCGTTATCTATTGGTATTTCTGTTTACTGTTAGTTTAATAGTTAATACCTCGTTTCAAATCACAGTCGGCCATTGATTTGAAGCGAGCCGCAACGTTGTCAATCGTTGCGTTTGTTGAGCGTCATCGAAAATTACTCGAGCTAAGCGTACCTTGACGGCCATTTTCCACGCGCTTTTGAGTTCACCAAACCCCCCCAAGTATTCAACTGTGTCTTGTAAATTGTAATCTCGAATACGATTATTGAGCGGTGTGCCAAATGCCGACTTACCGGATTATTGGTCATTGAAAACCGATCTTCGCGTTGAAAACACCTACATTTTTTGAGTTTCGATCAATATTTCTTCTTGACGCTGTTTTTTTTACACCGTTAACAGATACAAGTATGTATAACAAGCTTTTGTTATTGGTTAATGTTGTTGGCGTTTGGTATTATCAAACGCTATTATGTACTTCACACACTTGTTTTCTAAGGATTTAACGTTTAAACTAATATTAATACGAAGTACTGCTTTTAGTTTAATATATTATTTACTGGATATCGTAAACAATGTCTTCAAACGATATGAATGATAGTGCAAACGGAGACCTGACTTCAGAACCAAAACCTAATGAATATGTATCGGCCCTAGTCAAAGAAAAATATGCCTTGGACGTGGAGTCTCATCCAAATGCAATGAAACTCATAGACAACGGTATGTAATCGTTTACATATTTTGTAGATACATCCTGTTTGGATAATACATTGACATTAGTAACCAAAATAAGATGGGCCTTCGTTTTACAAGCTATTTTTCTTTTTTCCAACCAACAGACATTTACCTTAATTAATTTCTTGATATTAAAAAGTAGTTAACGATAATTAAAGAAATCATTAAACAGCCTATTTGATGTATTCATTTTTCAATAACATGACTGTTGAACATATTAATAACTATAATAATGATGTAGACCGGTTAATGACATTGTACAAATTATTATTGTTTCCCTATCTGAAATTAACATTATATCATACGAGTTCAATTATAAATGTTATTAATAATTATACTGATGCAGTATAAATATTACTGACCTCAAATTCTAAAAAGTGTTTTTAATGTTTATGTTTGTAGAAATTTCCAGAGCGCAGACAACCAATGCAAAACCTGAAGCTGCCTACTTAGATATAAACAGTGACAAACCAATTCGGCTTACAGCTAAAATTATGGTTCCAGCTAAAGAATTTCCCAGGGTAAAAATATATTAATATACATATTTATGTGTCACATTATTAATACATTTATTTTATTTATGATGGGTTACTTAGACATTTATTGAGTGTACTTAAACGAATCATTAAGTATTAAGGGATTCTTTTAACATAATTTAGTGGTTCATAATTAAGAGGGCTTTAGAAAAATAAATAAAACCTCGTAATCCTTAAAATATACTGGTTTTAATCATTTTTCATATTAATTTAATTTTGTAGGAATCAAAGAGTTTTTTTTATACTTTTATAGATTATTAGAGGAAATAAATAAATCATATTAATTATAAATGTATACTAATTTAATCAATAACAAGTTTGTTTTTTTATTTCTCTATTATTTATTAATTAATTAAACATTAGTTTGTCAATCATAATTATAATGGCTTAGGAAGACAAAAGACAGTTAACACCCTTATTGAACAATAATAAAATAGTAATAAATGTCAACAGCAATAAAACCAAAAAAACTCCAAATCTGAAAACAAATATTTTGGTTCAAAACCTTATAAAGTGTAATTAAACATAATTATTTATATTTTCAGTTTAACTTTGTCGGAAAATTATTAGGACCAAAAGGAAATTCATTAAAACGTTTACAAGAAGATACAATGACTAAAATGGCAATATTAGGGAAAGGATCAATGCGCAATAAAGAAAAGGTTACCTTACTAGTACTTGTTGTACAATTGTATTTTTATTTTACAAATTTTATTTTTATTTTCATCAAATTTTTAGGAAGATGAAATGAGGAGTTCATTAAATCCAAAATTTTCTCACTTAGCTGATGAGCTTCATGTTCAAGTGACTGCTTATGCACCGCCAGCTGAAGCATATGCACGACTTGCATATGCTCTTGCTGAACTTCGAAAATTTTTGATACCTGACCACAATGATCAAATAGCACAAGAACAAGCACGTGAAATGCAACAATTTGGAGGCGCTCCTCCTGTCCGCCATCCTGGACCAATAATCCACGCTCCACCTCCCCCACCAGTCATTCGCGCTATGCCCCCTCAGGCAGTAAGAATGCCCAGAGCACCAGTTCCAGGAAAAGCCAAAGTACTAAGTATTTTAGATCGAGCTCGTTCAGCTATGGAAGGAACCAACGCTTACCCTGGAAATGGTGGTTATGGAGATTCGGCGTCTTATTCCCACTATGATTCTGGGTATGTTCATATATTATTATCTGATTAATGTTATTGTGTTTCTTACTATTTCATTTTTTTGTTTTATTAGTTATGGCGGTGTTGCGACTTATAATGGGGGTGGCAATGACGAATATTATTCAGGAAATTCATTTGCCCAAGGTAGGTTATTAACTTAATATAGAATAATTATGTTTTGCATTTTTTTTTGTACTATTATATACTTATTATGATTTATGAATACAAATGTATATAATATTTTACTAGATGTTAATCCATCGTCGGGAGGTCGTGGATGGAAAAACTACAGCACAGGAGGTGGTGGTGGCGGCGGTAGTGGACCGTCCAAACAGGCGGGAAACCAAGGGGGACGATATGGCGGTCGCAATGCTCCTTATTCCAGACAGAAATAATCAGGTATTTGTCAGGTCTATATCTAATGTAAGAACATAAATACTATTATTGGTAGAATACTTTTTTTTTTTTTAAATAACTTGACATTTCTTAACAATAATAAAGTAATATTTTCATTTAATGAAATAAAATTATGACATCTTTATTAATAGTTTACTCTTATTGTATGTCCATACAACATTAATTGTTCATTACATGGGATGTATAATACCAATTTTTTTTCTATTTATATAATATATACCTATAAAAATGACATTTTAAAATTATAGTTAAAAAAAACATTATGTAAGGAATAAAAGTTATTTTCATATGTAACAAAAATGTAAAAATAAAGTGTCTGCACAAAGTCTTGATTGGATTATTATTAAATTACCAAATATTGTTGGGCTACTTATTTTTATTATTTTTTTTTTCATTCGTTTCTTAAGAACACATTTTTAATATTATGTATATTTAATTCATGATCTAGATATTTAGTAAATAAAGCATTTTTAATAATATGGCATAAAACCATTTATACTACATTTTGCTAGACTCGTTTTTTGTACCCTAATTTGCAAATATTATAATTGCATAATTATATATAAACATAAAAAAAACTAGATAATTAATTTGTATGTAAATTATAAATATTATGGATATACCTAAAATGCTTTTTTTTTTGTATATTTAAATGTATTTTGCCCAATATAATAAATAAATAATACTTTAAAAACAATTATTTGTTCTATATATTATATATATATACATTCAACTAAAACGATTGTGTCGATGGAACAACATATTTAAAATGTACTGTTACTAATGTAAGGCGGTCACTTTTCATAACAACCAAATATGATATTGATCAAATTTTTTAATTTGATATAATAACAGTAATCATTAAATAAAAAAAATTTTACTCAGTTTTGATTTTGTTATATTCATCAATAATATAAATTATTATAAAAATATTATGCTATTGTAAATTGTAAATAGTATATTTTATAACGTAAAACAATTATTGGCTTTTAAAATTATGAATAGATAGATGTAAAATGATAATTTTGTAATAAAGTTACACAAAATACTCGATAATTCATAGAAATATATAGTGATATTAACATAAACGTGATTTGCTTAAATTATTATTTGTATAAAATATACATGCAAATTAGTATTATAATACAGGTCCAGTGTAAATCCTTAACTCTTTAATTTCTTTCCTTGCCATTAAAAAAATCATAGATAAAACATTATGCTAAATGTGTTGACTTTAAACTGATCATTATTTTATCGTTTTAGGCGTATAATCGTGAAATTAATTACCTAAAATAATTTCCAGCTTTGAAAATCAATATATAAGAAGAGAAGAGTATTTAAATGTGTTTTAAATATTGTGTCGAGATCATCGATTTTAGTTTTGGAACTTATTCAAGACTAATATTTAATTTAACTAAAAACCAAATAGTGAGGTTTAATGTAAAATTCAATATTTGAAAGTGATAAATACTATTTATTTTAGTTACAAACGTTAAATAACTTATTTGTGGTAAGTTGTTAAAAAACTATAACATTGTTTACTCAAAAATGTATTTCATGAACAAACCATTAAAAAAAAAAAATGTGCGTTATCTTTCGCATCTGTAATGATTTTGTGGAGGGCACACATTTGAAAGAATAAAAAAAATAAAATCAGGTACACATTTAAATTGTAAAAAATTAATTTGTTTTCAATGAAATACTGTCTTTTTTTGTTATTTGTTCTAAATAAAAAGCTCTCTTCTAATTAAATTTGAAACATTTTATACTATTACAACTTTTTGTAAGGATTATAATTTTAAGTGATTTTGTTTCAGGATTGTTCCAATGTGATACAACAGTTGACTTCTATAAGAACATACAATGATCTATGTTGTGAAAATGTTTGTATACAATTTATTTGATCTCACAATTTCACTAGTAATGAACTAATATACTAAATCAAGACTGACATTTTAACAGTTATTAAACTGTTTTTTTTTACTTTGTATTGTTTTAATTTTTGTAAATAAATAAAAACTTATTTAGAAATTATAATTGTAATTTATATTTGTTATAATGCAAATAACTTATTAGAACACAAGTAACTAAATTAGAAAATATTTATAAAGATTTACTTTTAGTTTTATAAATAAATAGATGTTTAAATACATCTATATCAGATTTGGTAGCTATCACTTTTACAATAGAAAAATCACCATCGTTTTCTATTTCTAAAACAGCCGTATTTGATCTTAACCATTCGTATTCTTTTTGGCCAGTACGTACCCGAATTTTTAAAATTTGTCTTCCTGTGACTTGTATAATTTTTTTTTCTATTTCGGCTTTGAGCTCTTCAAGACCAATTTCTTTCGTACAAGACACATAAATAGAATCTTCGTCTTTTTGCAAATTTTCTACACAATCAATTTTATTGGCAACACTAATGATACTATTTAATAAATCCATGTTAATATTTAAATTTTTTAGTGTATTTTCAACATGTTCTTTTTGAACATCAACATTTGGATGAGAAACATCTCTTACATGTACAATGACATCAGCAAACATGGCATCTTCTAAAGTAGCTACAAATGGTTCCATTAGCCCAGTAGGAATATCTGATATAAATCCTATGGTGTCAATATATAGAGCCTTTAAATTTGAAGGTAATAATCCGCCGTGTACAGTGACATCGAGTGTGGCAAACAGGCAATCCTTGGGTGACATATCGGAATCACCCGACAGAGCCTTCACCAAAGATGTTTTACCAGTATTTGTATATCCTACTACTGCAACTATAGGTAGGTTTTTATTTTTCCTACTATTTCTTAAATGTTCTCTGTGACTTCTTAACTTATTCACTGACTTTTTAAGTTTTTTTTCATATTCTTTAAGTAAATCTTTTTTGTCATCGATTACCATATTACTGCTCAAGGCTATTTGTCCGGCCTCCGTACCTAATCTATCAGCGTAGTTTTCTTGAAGACCCCGTATTCTAGACCACATATATGGCACTTCGGCTAAAGCGACTTGTAGCTTGGCTTCTTTAGTGAAAGCGTGTTCTCGAAAGATTTGAATAACAATTAAATATCTATCGTAAACTGGGACTTTAAAAAAATGTTCTAACTGTTGATGTTGTATCGGTTTTAGTACATTAGTACTAATAAAAACCGCCGTTATCCTTTGGTCTTGTTTGATTTTCATCGCAATATTATCAATACTGCCTGGACCAAGAAATGTTTGTCTACGATAAGCAGTAACACCTATTTTCATACTGTCCCTAACTTTCCAATCCCTTAACGTATTTATCAGAGACTCACTTTCTGCCAGTTTAATCTCTGGTGTTGTTGCTCGATCTTTTTTGACACCCCATTTAATGTAAGGCTGAATAACAAGGACTTGGTGGCCTGTTTTTTCTAATTTCAATTCTCTGCTAATAAACTCTTGAATGTTTACGTCTTCGTCATTGTAGGTGAAATAACACCGTTGAAATCTATAATTAAATGTTTTGTAAATCTGTCTAAAATATCTGATCATTATACCCATGTGATATTTATGTGAGATTTGAGCAGGTTTGCAATTTTTCCTTGGCGGTCCAATACGATACTGTAGCTGCTGCTAAAATGGACACAGCAATGTGAGTCTTGTGCACTATAGGAAATCGTTTGCTAACAATTTTCTGTCCTATGTGAAAGACGAAAAACGTTAACGTCAAAGCCCCTAAACCCGTTCCGTACGATCTAATTATACAATCTAAATACGAATAATTCGGTTTGATTTGGTCATACTTAAGGTTTTGTTCATTCGGCACTTCTTTGACTTTGTTATTCTTACTCATAGCTAGTAGCTACGTGAACGAGTTTGCTTACAGTAATCTTTATAGCCGATATCGTATGTTAAAACTTAACTAACAAACTTGCATATTGCAAAACAACATTAACGTACTAAAAAAAAATTATAGATAGATAAGAGATACGTCATACGACCAACCAAATGACGATTCGATGAAGGATAATAAACAGAATTGTCAGCAATCTGGCGCATGGCCGCCGATTTCGGTTACACCTCAAAGAGCCACTCGACACGGAGCCACTCGACAAACAACCACCGAAAATCGACACCGAGCCACTCGACAAGCAGCCACTCGAAGGGGTACCAACATATACAATATTTATAAAAAATGCACGATTATTATTCGTGTATGTTGTGCGGCTAGTATTGTTTATTTAAAGGGGAAAACTTGTACATTTCATAACTAATGCAATAAGGCTTGAACTATTTTTAATTCACTGTGTGACCTGTCTCCTGTTTTGAGTTTTTTTATTTAAGTTATAATCAAATCAGTTTCTATTATTGAAATTTATATAAAAAAAAAACTGAAAGTATATGAAACAATATTTACAATATTATATTATAGTGATAATTTACCAACAATAAATTGTCTCTTGAGTTTGTAAAAAAAAATGTTTTTCAAAACATACTTACACGTTTTATAATAAGTAAAGCAGAATGTTCATTGATCAAATTTCAATGAAATTATACTTTTTTTTTAAATTATTTAATACCGATGTATTATACCTATCTATTTAAAACAATACATCGTGAATACCTCATACGAAACTATTCGATACCCGACAATAAAATTAAACACATTTACTTAAATACTTTACAACTTCCAATAGGCAATAACACAATAATAAATTATAGTTAAATACTATTTAATTTTGTATTATATATTATCATATCTGTGTATTAGTTATCATGTTATATATATGCCGAAAATAATAATTCCGAAAAAAATTTAGAACCAAAACATATATTAACCGAAAATATATTAGCCGAAAAATATTTAAGTCGAAAATAATGTCATCGAACGTATTTTAGCTGACACTTATTGTTTGAACAGAACCTTATAAGTTATAAATTATAATAGTATACAAAAACACTGTTACGCGCGCCGTGTGACCGCGTTGTGTCTACTGTCTACGCTATTTTTATAACATCTGTGATAAGTTCCATTTGTTATTGAAATATACAGCTATTTTTTATTTTGTGGTTGACATTTTTTTTCCATATATACTACCAATGCTTAATTGTTAGTATTTGTTTATACTTAGCTACACAATAGTAAATTCAAACAGGGACAACCTATGGTAGACTGGCGCCTTGCCGATGCTGAATAAAATGTTTATATATTATTAAGCCGGCAGTAGTTTTTTGGGGTCTAAAATAACCGGTATGGTTCTTTTGGATCTAGATATGATCACTCACCAGACTTATCACTAATGTCCAGCTAATATATAAAATAGATCACTCCAGTTTATGTGTAAACAAGGTCAGATACAAGGGGAAGGCTGGAGTTAATAGTTAATAGTTTATAATACAATCTATATTAAATTTATATTTATAAACACAGATTTCCTTATTTCACACTATTATAATATACAAGTTAAAAGTTAGCTATAACTTAAATTTAAGTGACATGTGTATTGGCGTTGTCGATTGCATTATCTAGATGTTTTTATACATGTGCATAGAGTACACAAGGGTTTCACAAAATGATTGATACTTAGTGTGTGATATTATAATTAACGTGAAGTGGGTCTCATACGGTTAAAAAGTTATTAACGAAACGTTAATATTACTAAGTTTACTATGGTCAAGTTTATACAAACTAACGGTTGGTTACCAACTGCGGCCATCCATCACTGATGTTAAATAATTATGAGATTCGAGCTATCAAAAAAAAAATATAATGGTTCAACACGTTGGCGGTGGCCGGTACTTAACAAAAGACTGCAAGGAAATAGTTTTTACTAAAAAAATTGATGATTTTACTGTTTTTATCTATTTTTAATGTTATAATTATTAAAATTTATTTTATTATTGACCGCGATTTAATAAAAAAAAAATTGTTTGGCTTAAGTATTCTAACAGCCTTGACAAAAATGTATTTTCTAAAATGATTATGTACATGTTTATTTTTAAAAGTTATTATCAGCAGTAATAAACATATTATATTAATCATTTGTTGAATAAAAACTAATAGTGTACATATTATGAACACAACGGATTTCATACAAGTTATTTTAATATTAAAGTTAGAAACAATTGTACATTATTAAAGAAAAATACTAAATTAATATAATCAAGTTAATAAAAAATGTTTACTAAATTATTTCCACTTGGCTTATAGTTTTTAAATTTTGAACATAGTTGGAAAAATAACAAAATATAGTTAGAACATTACAAATAATTATGGTATAAATATACTTTACCGGGCACCCTTTTTTTCGATTATTTTTTTAAATCGACAGTACTTTTAATGTTGATTACGAATATGTAAAAAATTTGCGCCGCTCGCACTTAGTTTGGAAGTTACAGACTTTTAAAGTTCGCCGAAATCGACATACGTGCGCGCCCGGCACTGCACGTCTACCCGCGCCCGCTGGGTACTTCGTCCGTCGATCGCCGCTCAATTATCATCGGATTCCTCGTCTACCTGCCTCCCGCCCGTCGTGGTCCTTTTTTTTTTGCATCATAATTTCATCACGCTAATATTTGACTTGTTTGGGATTTTGCTATAGCGAACAATGAACAATTTTTGGCTCGCCCGATGCACATTGTTGAGACTTGAGGATGACTTAGTAGTAAATATTAATGTTTTATCGCGCCCCGCTAATATTATAAAGTATTACGGGCTATTATAAAGCAATACATGTTAATCATTTTTTATAATTTGGTTATTCATTTATATTTTATGATTCTACATATATTAACACAAAATAAATATATAATGCTGTTTTTCTACAAACTCTGATGAAAATTGTGAGGGACACACACACATACATACATTCATTTATATATATATATATATATATATATATAATAAAAATAGAAATAATTAATCAGATAAAAAAATCCAATTTATATAGATGGCCTATAGCATAAGCCAAATGGGTGGAAAATATACACATTTGCCAATTAGCTAAAAATGTACTTTTTTGGGATTTTTATATCGGTATTTATCTAGTTCTAACCCTCTGCTTCTGAGTTTTTAATAACTAGATCTAAGTCAATAAAAAGTAAAAACCTTTATCAAATACTTTTTAGTTGTATATATAATATATACATGGATAGTTCATTCCGATACTCATGAAAATGCACACAAATTAAACAATGTTCAATAACTTCATTTGTTTTATATTTAAAATATATTTGTAATTTAATTGGAATACATGAAAGCAAGTTAAAATATTATTCAATTAATATCGTTGCAATATACATAATTTTTTTATCTATGTATTATATTAATAAATAAGTATCAATAATATAAAAATGTATAATTATTTATAATAATAGAGTAAAAGTATTTAGAAACAATAATTATTATTAATAGCATGAGTTAACAATAAATCCTGTTGAGTAAATTGAAATGTTTACAATGAACATAGTAACAATGTCTACTATACAATAGGGGTTTTAATAAAAATATAATATTTTCTACAAAGTTACTGTTTTTATTTTTATTGATATACAATTTGGAAATTACATTTTTTGCTATTACTCCGTTATAATATGTGGTGTCGGCCGCACAACATACACAAATAATAATCGTACATTTTACATAAATATTGTACATGTTGGTATCTCTTCGGGTGGCTGTTTGTCGAGTGGCTCCGTGTCGTGCTCCCCCGATTTCCTCGGGCGGCCATGTATTTCAGAGGAGAAAACCGGCAACCATTTTGTAAAAATTGAGTTGCTGACTTACCTCTTCATTTATTTTATCACGAAAGACATAGATTAAATTTAATGTTGTGGTTAAATATCTGATTGATCATTGATTAAATATAATTTTAACCTAATATAACCAGCAAAAGCTTTGTAAACGGTCAACAATACCATTGCTACTGCCTTGTACTGAATTTGCAATAAAATTGAAACATTGTTAAATAATATTATTGTTCCAATATGTATAGTTAGTGCCACAAACTAGTACCAAATGAAATATATAACTACTCGAGACAGCGGAGTGGACAGGATTTTATTTCAGTACTAACCTTTAATTTATCAAAATTAAAAAAAGCGACATACCCTGCACTGTAATTATTTTTATTTCCTAATCTAACCTTGGGAAGAGCTGCTGGCCCCTCAGCCTCTACCCTAAATACACCACCGACCTCGAAATAATTTGTTATTTAACTATAATTGCAGTATTGCCATCTAATAAATGATTTTGCTTTATTAAGCGAATGACATCTAAACCATTTGCATCAAAAAGTAACTTAATAATGCTCCTAAACATACTCAGACTACATAGATCATGTGTTTTGTAAAGGTGGTTTTAATTTGAAAACAAACATATGTATATTTTTTTGAATGTTTTATTGTAAAAGTCATAACTATTAAGAAGATGTCTCCACTGTGGCTGCAGCCGAATCTTCGGTATACTTTCCTTTGCCTTTAAGAGCCAAAGCCTGTGCTCGGCCTTTGCCTCTTCTGTCAAGAATTTTCTTACGATCTTTGTCCAACTTCAGTTTTACTATTACACACTAAAAAAAAAAATTCATAATCAATACCAATTCTTTGTTTTTGAAGTTAAAACTATATACCTTAGAAGGGTGGATTCCAACGTACACAGTTGCACCGTTAGCTTTTTCACGTTGAATTCTTTCAATGTAGATAACATATTTTTTACGATAAACTTGAACTATTTTACCCACTTGTTGTCCTCTAAAATGTCCTCGTACAACCTAGAGTTACACAAATAAATTAATAATATGTAAAATATTAAAAAAATTAATTAATGAAATTTAATCAGAGCCTTTACAATATCATTAAACAGATAAAACTCACAAAAACATTAATTCGGTTACAAGAACTGTAACCGAGTAATGTAAATGATTGTTATTCGTCTATCTCAAAGAATGGTTTTGCTTCATCATAAAACTTATAAAAAAGAAAAATTTTAATAGCTAAGTAATAATGTATTATAATAATTTTTTTAAAGTTTTCATGAAACACAGTATTATGTAATTTTAACAAAAACCACATACATTATATGAATTAATCAGAGCCTTTGTGATATCATTTAATAGATAAAACGCATGTAAACGTGCTTTCTGCTACAAGAACTGCAACAGAGGAACGTTTATAATTGTTATTCGTCTATTTCAAAGAATGGTTTAGTTTCATCATGTAAAATTATTAAAAATATTATAGTCCTAAATTATATAACTTTCAACCTATTTGTAAGAGGTTTTATCATTTATTACTTAAAATTATATTAGAAATTTATAGTGAAACCTATCCAAGACAGAATAGAACACACCTAAAGACATTTCTGTATAAAGTAATTTTCTATCCTAATTTAGTGGGATGTGAATTCTGTCCAATACAGTGTTCTGGTTTATTCACAGTACGTCTAAAAACAGGATTCACTGTATCAAAAATATAACTATTTTTACTATAAGAAAAATATCAGAGCCTTAACAATGTCATTTAACAGATAAAACTTATGAAAACATTCATTCCGCTACAAGAACTGTAACCGAGGAAAGTTTGCATTCGTTATTCGTATCAAAGAATGGTTTTGCTTCATCATAAAATAAGTGCCAAGTTACATAAAAAAATTAAAGAGACATTAACATTAACGAATACATTTTATGAGAAATCATCAAATAAACTCTGCTACATGTACATTTTTATTTACACCGAATTATTCTTGCTTTTAATGCACTCTAAAAATACGTGGATGTGGGTCAATATGGATTTATAAACATACATATTAATGGAAGAAAATTATCCCAGACTTCTGGAGCGCTACAATCGAAAAAATGTATAAATCGTCCAGCAATTTTAAGCTAGCTCATCCATTACGTTTTCAAGGCTCAACGAACTCAAGATAAACTCGACAGATTATACTATCCCGAACAGTGGGATAGTAGCAGAAACTGACGATTCTATAGAGAATGCTGTTGATTACTAACCTGGACTTCGTCGTCTTTACGAACAGGCATTGCCTTAACATTATATTTGCTTTTTAACTCTTTAGATAAAGGCGCCGACATGATTCGGCGTCTTATGTGTGAGGGGGCAGTAAAATGTTCTTTGCGCGACTTGCGTCGCGAAGACGATTTGTAGACATTGAACTTCATATTGGATACCTGAAAATATCAATGGAGCAAAAGTTGCATTAAACACGAATATACTCGTCAAAACGCTAATATTTTCAGCTTGACAAATAAAATGTTAGAATGATACATGTGAGTAAATACATATAAGAAGCTTTTACCGAAAACAATTGTAATTGTGTACGGATTGAAGTAGATGAAAAACTTACCAAAACTCCCAAACGCGTAATGTGAAAGAATCACGTTTGGCCGATAGAAATAGTAAATATTGAAATGTAATCAGTTAACAGGAGTGAAGACCACGGCGGCTACCACTTACCACACGGCAAAACGACAAACCTAGTATCTGGCAGTAAACATTAATACAAAAATCAAATTATCAGTTATCCTTTGTTATCTGTTACCACAATATTATCCAAAGAGGTTATAAAATGAACATACATTAGGGAGCTAGTCATATTAATACATATTTACCGCGGTTCACTGTTGCCGATCATGATTTAATAACATTTAAATACAAAATTAAAATATTATATTGTGAATTTTCACAATTATTGAAATTTATAGTAATTTAAGCATCTACTTATAAACATAAATATAATTTTTTTTATCAAGTACTAATGAATCATTTAGAAAAAAAAATGAGAAATTTCATCCCGTTTATAATAATTCTGGCAAATTTGTACGCTAAATGTGACCAGTAATAATTGCTAACTTGCAAACATTCGGGAGTATTATTTCCTATTTAAAATTATTTCTATTACAGAGCTGTCAAGCTAGCCAAAAATTTAGTTTATGGTAACAGAATAACTTGTTATTTTAAGAAAATGATTTAGTTCATAAAACAAATGGTTTTATTTGTTACATTAGCATTTAGCAGACACCTATCTACCCAAAATGATAGTAGGCAGACTTGGCACCCGTTAATAAATGTATAATATAATGTAATAGGTACATTCATTTACAAATCATCAACTCAGACTATATATGTATGAAAAATAATGAAGTGCAAAATATTTTAGCTTTATCTTATCAAAATTATTATAAATTATGATTAAACTTGGGGTTCGGTGTGTTGTTAATTTAAATATTTTTTTAAAAATAATAAGTACTAGGAAGTAAGAAATAAAGTTTCGTTTTATTATCAAACTATAATTGTCCGTTATTATAGGTAATGTTTTATATAAAAGATTGAAATAAATTGCCTTACCTAACCAATCGAATAAAAAAAATTTGTTTGGAGCACTATATTATTTTTATTACAAGTGTTTCAATCATAATATTATCATGTAAAGATGTTTGTTTTTGTTTGTTTAATATTTTTAAAAATCCTAATAAATGGCGCCAAGTGTACCAAAATGTATGTCTATTATCACTTGTCAGTTATCACTTATCTGTTACGCTGATAACTTTTGAGTCTTAGAGTTTAGTTTAGCATGCTATTTTAAATTTTAGACTTCTTAGTGTGTACTTATTAATTGAAATTCAATGGATTTATATTAGGTATGCTAATTTGTATTGTACTCAACAACAGTAATTATCATCATGTCAGTATTTATATTAAACGAGAATACTAATTTCGAACATGTCATCGGAGTTCTTTTCAATAACTGGACTGCTCTGAAAGTAAGTTCTTGTCGGCATATTTTGATTTTAGTTTTAACTATATTAACTTTTTAGTATTTTCATAATTTTTCTATTCATTTATAATAGATGGCCATTGACCATGGAATGGGCGGGACAACGGAATTGATGCACTATAAAGTCAGTGATTTAATACAAAACATACATGAGTTTCTACAAAAATCTGGTTTGTTTTAATAAATAATAATTAGAGAGAATGTTTGTAAGGTTTACTAGAAATAATAATAATAATTTAGGAAACGAATCATGTTGGACTGGAGTATCGGACATAATTGAAGACGTTATGGACGTTGGATTTGATGTAATACTTGAAGATTCGTCCGCAGACGATTTAGGAAAACACATATGTCAGTTCTATTGCGATTGGAATCAAGCAAACGTCGGCCGTATGCGTGTAATTGATGAACTCAGAACTTTACCAATTCCTATTCCTATACAGATTGCTCCTGTAAAATCAACACGAGTTAAACAAAATGTAAGTGTCAAATATTTATATCTCATTCATAGTTAACAAAAGCCAGTTCATTGGGGACAGGGAGTTCACAGGTTTACAGGAATTATTATAACTGAAATTGATAAAATCACTAATAAATAAATGCTTTGATGCGAATCTGTAGTAAGTAGGTTCAAACCAATACAGTCCAAACCAAGGCCCAAGCACAGTGTATACTATCATAGTAAGAAGTATTAAACATAACTGAGTAGTAGTAGTAGTAGTAGTGAGTAAGTCTAGTATTCACAGATAAAATTACAAATATCGTTTATACAAGCATCGTATTTAATGATAATTATATGCTTAAAAATACATTTTTAGTACTAAAGTAGATACGATTATGGCTGATCGTCTGTCTATGAAAATGTGTTGCCATAGTTAAACATATTATCAAAAATAACAAAACAATGAAAATATTTCCATTACCCGCTGACTTAGAACTTAGAAATTGACTACTCAATCACAGTGTAATTTTACCCTTTTTGGGAGTTTTCTTTAATAAAAAAAAATTTGACTTCTGATAATTTTAATAAGTTATAGCCTTATTTTAGATCTACCTTTGGTAACATTTTCAGCCCTCAATCCCTAAAACTTTGCTTGAAAATTGAAATAAACAAAATATTTTTATCCCTTTAAAGGGAAAGGATTCATGATATTTTTTTTGGTTTGTCAATGTTTATCGGCAGTACTATGTTTAAAACATATTCTATACAAATTTGGAATTAATTAGACTCTTTTTTAAAAAAGCTGTTATGGAGTGCTGTAATTTTATGTTGAAAAATATGTAAATTTTGTTGGTGTTTTTCTTGATTTTGAAGACGAATGGATGAACTTTAAAGTTTTAGGTCTAATAAAATACCTCTCTATGTTTTTGGCAAGTAAAACTAGTTTTAATATAATTTAATTTTAGAAGGAAGAATCCTCGTCTAGTGATGAAGAACTAGAACCTGAAGCCGAAGATGGGTGGACTGTTGTAAAACATAAGTAATGATTTAAAATGAAAAATTTATATAATGTATAAGTATGTATACATTTGTTTATGTTTAATAAAACATTTACTATTTTACCCATTGTTAATGTTCTACTGATACAACCTTTAGAGTTATACTATTTTACATTTTAGGCTATGTCAAAAATTACCTTCTGATTTTTTTCTTTAATTTATAAGGAGTACATGTAAATTTTTTTTACTCAAAAATATGCCTTACTGGGATGATGTTTTGAAGAGTAATTGGCTTTATTTTTATTTATGGGATTTTCGGCTGTTCAGAAGTTGAAGCATGACCACTCAGTGACATTTGGGGGGAGGGGGAGGCTTGTGAGTTGGGATACTAAAATAACCTTAAAACTTAAAATTAGTGCTTTTCGAAATACCTATATTTATTTTTTAGTGAGAGATTTGTTGAAGTAAAAATAAATGTAGCACTTATTTTAAGTTTTAAGGGTTTCTTAAGGCCAAATGTCCGCCCATGAGGCTCTCACATCACTGAACACAGTGTTGCTAGTTGCAGTTATAACTCTACTTGTTAATTTATATTATTAGTTATTCACAATTTCTAATTAGATTTTGAGTATAATTGTGAATAACCGATAGACTCGTAGATTACAATTTGAATTTACTGCGTATAAACATGTGGCACTTAATAAGAAGTTAAATTTTAAAAAGGACATTTTTTATTTCCTTGAAAGAAAAACTAATTTTTTAAGCCAAAAGTATGTAAATTCCTAGCCCCTTGCTAAAATATCTAATCGCCCCTAAGCATAAGTATGATTTTCATTAAGATAGTCGAAAGATAAGGAAAATATCAAGAAAATGTTTGTATTTGTTATTTTATTTTTATTGTCCATAAATAGAAATGTTAATTTAAATAGTAATTTCTTTAAAAACACATTTTATAACTAAGTTAAATAATATTTATGCTTTCAATAATTTTTTTGAAGAAAAAAATATGTCAACATTTTTATTCTTATATAACAAAACATTTGTTTATTTATTTGATTGTATACAATTTTTAAATATAATAAGTATACAAAACGAAAATTTTTAAAAATGGATATTTTTATAATTACAAATGTGAGTATGTCATATATTAATTTATAGGAAATAATAATATTGGTGAACAAATACGGTCAAGACACTTATGATTAAAATGTCTGTAATTCTTGCATATCGATTAGCTGCACTGCTACTGTCATTATTAACTGTGAAACTGATTCTGTTTTCTACCCCAACGGTAATGGGACTTATCATTTTCATGTACACGGCTGTTGCATTGTAGTCTTCTACACCTTTAAAATAATTTAAACACTTTGTTAATATTACTTTGAAATCTTAATTACACCATTAGAAGTGCCCTGTAATTTATAAAACAGATTCTAATTTATGTCGTAATAACTATAATGGAAAACTAACTCGAAAAAAAATATACTGTAAAACTACAATAAGCAAGTGAAAAAAAAATTGTTCAAATTGACTAAATTATTGTTATGTATGTGATGTGTATTTATCTTGTTAAGAGATGAAAAATTAGAAACAAAAAAAGTTTTTTCCAAAATTGTTTTACTAACCAATGGGTTGAGTTTCTCTAGGTTCTTTTGCGAATGAAGTAAATTTATCTCCGCCCATAGCTATGTATTCTGGCATGATTAATGTGTAGTTGGCATTTAGAATGATGGGTTCATATTTGGGCACTTGACATTCTCTGCATCGGAGGAAAAGCTTAACTACTCGGTTTCCTGGAGGCCTAGTTATGTCGTATTCCACCAATGCTCCTAGAAAAGAAAAAATCAACTAAATGAGATCAATTTACAAAAATATCAAGCAGTTGAAGTCCTATTTTATTAATAGGATAATTTGATTTGACTTAATTTAATTATTTTATGTACAAGATAAACTTACATTTTAATTAAATATCTGTAATAATACAATTTAAAAAAAACAGCACAGTGTAGATGAAATATATTTGTGTGGGAGGTCACAATGCTATATCATGAGAAGTATAAATCATTTTTTAATAAAATGTTTCCTCTCCATCTCCATTATATTTATAGATTTCCCACATAAGTTTTTAAGTAATTAGACTATTTTTAAAAATTTAAGAGCATTTTGTAATTTTAAGTTAAAAAATGTGTACATTTTGGTGGTTTTCTTGATTTTGATAGGAAAAGTATTTACCCTTCGGGTACGATTATGAACTTGTTGCATGAAGATATTGGTTTAGAGGTTTTAGAGATATTATGGTCCAGACACAAAATAGAAATTGAAATAATACCTTCACAGCTCCGCATTAAAGTGTGAAAGCATTAGTGTTAAGTATCTCTTTGCATACTCAGTAAACAAAATACTGTAATCTTACCAGATACTTGTAAAAATTGATTGCTGCCTCTGGTGGCGTCATAATCAAAAACGCTATTTTCAAATGCTTCTAAGACGCTGCTTCCGGGAATTGTTAGTTTTATTAATTTATTAATAAAAGGCATAACAGTTAACAACTGTCCCATAGAAATATCACCTAATAAACAATCATTACAGATGAGGATTAATCCAATATATTTGTAATGCATTATGCATTATCTTTTACTAAAATATTATTTTCATGGTTAAAAGTCTGTTTTACCGTCGTGCCCAGTCTCATTTATGGAACTCCTAATACCGCCGGCTTGAATAATTCCAATTGAGGCGTCAGTCCATTGTGTTATACTTTGATTGGTGTTTCGAAGGTTCTGAAAATTGATTTTGGTTATATATTAAAAATAACATTTTTATAGCTACATAATATAGGGTGATATCCAAAACTAGTTATCGACCAGTCAACATTTTTAGTTAATTATTCTCAATTAAAAAAGTCAATGAAATGTATGCGACATGCGTTACCATTAAAGTTTCAAAAGTTGCTATCAAATAAACTAAGTTGGGAGGGGGTTAGGAAAAATTGAGATCACATTATATAAAAACACTGAAAAAAATAATTCAATTATTAATTAAACCCAATGAGATATTGAGTGGCCCATGACAAAAGAATCAACCTGTATATGTTTACAAGTTGGTACTCACGTAAAATACAAATGCGTCGGCTATGAGATTTCCTAAATTACACTCGGATGTATGGCATGTATTCATTAGTTCGACGATGGTATGACCAACTTTTACGCTTGTTACTTCGACAATTTTAGGTTTCCACTGTTTGACAATCGCTTCCATTTCTTGATCTGAGATGATAACGGTAAAAAATCAATCAAAATGAACACAAGATTCTTAAAAAAGTTTGTCAAGTAATTCAACGTTTTTATGAGCTTTTAGCTTTTATACTTTTTACCTTTTTCAATTTTATAGTTTAATAAAATTGGAGAGCCGTTGATTTCCAACAAGTTTCCTGCAGAGTCAAATCGAATATTGACTTTACCTAGGTACTTGGTGTGTGCGTACGCTTGTAGAACGGGTATCACTTTACCGTTCGTTGAATTTACAAGTACAGGGTACGGGCCCATCGGCTTATCGATATCAGGAGGTTCACCTAAAAAAACAAAGTAATTAATAATCTTGAATTTATAGCAGTAATAATGTTAAGTCTAAAAGTATTTCTCAATAAACATCTCTATATTTTACCGGTATAGAGAAAAGTGTGCGAATGACCACCAACGATCAAGTCGATGTCTTCCACTTGTTTCGCAATCTGTATGTCTCTTTCGATGCCGCTGTGTCCTAAACCTATGATGATATTTACTCCTTGGTCCCGTAGACGTTTTGATTCTTTTTTCAATGTTTCTATTTCATCCAATAATTGAACGCCATCGATTTGCGCTAAATTCTAAGAAATAAGAACGTCAATTTTTAAGTCTAACCAGTAAGCATTTTTTCAGGTGTGTTAGAAATGGACATAAACGCGTGTTAATGGGTTGTTTTTTTACTAAAAAAAAAAAAACAAATAACTTGGACAATACATATTGCAAATGCGCAAGGTTTTAGTGATTTATGGCAAATCACAAATGGTTATGTTGATTAAACCTATTTATTATATTTGTTTTTTTAGCTTCAAAGTTGACGTTGATCACAGACATAATTGGATTTTGTTTTTTTAGTGGAACTTATTGAACTATTACAGAAATATTAGCAGTAAATATAGCTTACATGTAAAAATCCCTAAAGAAAAATATAAAAACCAGATTAATGGGGTTTTAGTATTGTAAATATGCGAGCCTAACGTTTGTAAAAATCGTTATGGACATTTAAAAATCGGCACACAACAAAAATATACTTGTCATTGTCTAGTGTAAAATAAATTATTAGTTAATTACTGGCAATTAAATAATATTTTAGTTAAATAAAAATAAACGTGAAATTCAAATTATTACGTTTTTTTTAACGTAAACACAAATTATGTCTTGCCCATGGTGTCGAGTTTAAGGGAGGGGCAGTTTCTCCGAGCAGCTCTTTTTTATAGACATGTAACAACTTTATCTATGTACTTTCAATAATTTCAACCCAGAAAAAAAAAAAATTGATTTGATAAGTTATAACTTAACAATCATTAATTCATTATACAGAGTGTTCCAGCATGAAAGGTAAGTAATGGGTGATTGGACATCTGGGGGACCCCCAAATAAGCCCCCCGTTTCCATTTTTTCGATAAGTCAAAATTTGAAGGTTTCGACAGTTGAGTAAAAAAATAATGACCTAAAAAAACAAAAAATTATTCCATGTTATTCAGTGCAAAAAGCTAACCTTAAAAGAGGGGTCACATCATTTTCAGTCCCTTTCGGCCCCTAACTCACAAAATGATAAGAGAAAAATGATTAGAGACCAGAAATAAATGATAAGTGATAAAAGATAAATGCTAAGACAGAATTAATATGAGAAAAAAGAAAAAAAATAATTGGTAAGAGATCATTTATGAGAGATTAGAGATGAATGATAAGAGTTTGGAGATGAATAATTAGAAACAAGAGGTAAGAAATAAATAATAAGATATTAGTGATAAGAGATAAATGATTAGAGACTAGAGGTAAGAAAAAAATGATAAGAGAAGAGCTAGGGGCTGAAAAAGACTGAAAATGATGTGACCCCTCTTTTAAGGTGAGCTTTTTGCACTGAATAACATGGAATAATTTTTTGTTTTTTTAGGTCATTATTTTTTTACTCAACTGTCGAAACCTTCAAATTTTGACTTATCAAAAAAATGGAAAGGGGGCTTATTTGGGGGTCCCCAGATGTCCAATCACCCATTACTTACCTTTCATGCTGGAACACCCTGTATAACATACTTGCGAAGCAGCTTTTCTCACTGTAAAACACTTTAGTATAGACAAATTTAAAAACGGATATAAGATATTATAAAATTTATCAAAAGACAAAAAGAAAATTACGCCAAGGTGAGTCATCAATAGGCAATGGGTCATACAGATGTCATGTCAGATGACACAACATGTCAGATCTTCCATTAACAGAAGTAGGACAAAAATCTGACTCATTACAGGAAGAGTACTCTAAAGTTTTGGATGTATATTTTATAAATTAATGTATACATTCCCGTAGTGCCTTAAAAAACTTTTCAGGACCTAAATCAATATTTGTATGCAAGAGCATAGCAAAATTTATGTTAATCCGTACATAAGTGCGTAATACATTCGCATGTTATTATACTGTCTAACTTCAAATACTGCAGTGCACCGCTCTTTCAATGCAGTCAAAGATCGTCTAAATTACTTGGCAATCTAAAAATATTGAGTCTAGTATTACCACATTACTAACTTGGCTATGCCATGTAGTAAACTAATTAAAGAAATAAGGCTAGACGGTTTTTTTTATCCATAACAAGGGCGCCCGCAGGTGAAAATTCAGTGAGGGGGCCGACTATGATTTTGTAATAGATTTTACAAATTTGGGATATTGAATATACATTTATTTTAATTGCGGAGATGCTAGGGGGGAAGTTTCCCCCTGCCCCCTCCCTGTGGGCGCCCTTGATCCACAGGTATTTTTACAGATGGTATATAATAACAAATACTTTATTTAGTAATGGTAATTTCGTTATTGTTAAATGATCGAAAGATTTTTAGAAAAAGGGCTTATTAAAAAACACTTATTAGTTATTTACGAACCTACTTAAGACAGAAAATTGATCAGAAATTGGTTGCAAATAAACGATATATCACGTGTTTGTGATTAACACTTGCCAATAAAACACATCTAATGCTTTAATCCTTTGGTATCGAAATGTATATTTTATTTTTGATCATTACGCCGTAAAATAATATTTTTATTATTATTACCGTAATGTAGTGTTACTAGAGACTAGAGATAGACACGCTTGAAGGAACTACACTTTACTAAGCGTGAAATGTTTTTTCTTTTTAAATTTTAATCCTTTATTTGATTAGATTTGTTTCATATTACGAACACCAGTCGCGACTTTTTTATTATTCAAGCGATGCATTTGTTTAGTGCCTAATAAACATTCGGGATTCGACGTCACAACACTTGTGTAAATTTGTTTCCAACGTTGCTATAATATTTTAGAAATTCGTTTTTAGGCTAGTATAGAGGGCAAAATATAAAAATTGCTGGTAATACCGTAAAGAGATTATCGTATGTCTAATTATACAAAAAATTTGTCCACTAAAATTGTAGTCATTTTTTACTTATAAAATATTTATTACGTCGCTTTTAAACCGTAACCGCAATTAATAAAATAACTCAATCTCATTGAACAAATATACAATTTTTATTGATAATATACTTCAGCGTGTTTTTACGTGGTAGCCGATAGATACTTACCTTTGTGTCTGGTGTCAGATATCCAACGAATCCCACTTTGGTACCATTTAGTGTCAACACATAAGACGTACGAATAAATTTTGTCAATTCCGGTTCTTTTGTCAGATCCATATTGGATACGACGACAGGTATGCTTGTCGTAAGGTTTAAGTATGGAATCAAGCCCTGAACACCGCCGTCGAATTCGTGATTTCCCAAAGTCTACAATGAACAATATGTTTTATAATTAAAAAAAGTAAATTTCCTATTCAAATTCCAAATTTTTTAAGAAATTCTAAATCAGACTGACGTTAATTTATTTAAATTGTGGAACGTCGGTCGTTGACTATTTTGCAGCCAATTGTTTATTATTTTTTTATATAAATTATTTACTATTATTACTCGTATTTTAAGCCCACAAATACCCTTGTGGCAAGGCAGTGAACCGCATAGTCAAATGGTCTCGGTCCATTGAGACTCAAATCAGGTGCTAAAGGTCTTAGAAATTAAATGCGAGCAAAGCTTCTAGAATCCTAGTACCGGCACCGTTTTAAAGAATTTAAAAAATACATTCAAGGTCTTTGGTGCAATTAAACTGGATGCTCTTGTGCTGCTTAGCTTGCTATAATGATTTGTACCACAACATAATAATTATAATTAAAAAAATGCGCATTATTGCCAACAAAAATTAAAATAAAATTTTACTGTCAATTTGTGGTCTCGACATGTTTGTACCAAACTTACGTAGATATGTTTATATTGTACCATTATCATGCGAATCACGTGTTAATTATTGGTGTAGTAAAATGTTGAAATTCTGCTGTCGGTCGTTGGATTTGACAATTATAAAATATTACTATGCCGATTACTTTATGGAGTATTTATACAATATATAAGTTTGGTACAAACATGTCGAGATTACAACTTGACAGTAAAATGGCTTTAAAACTCATGCAAATCATGTGTTAATTGTTGGTGTATGTTGGTGTACGAGGAGGGGCTGATAAATATGTATTTGCATTAAGGCACATTATAAAGGGAATTAGTCAATAAAATTTAACCTCAAGCTAAAATGTGTATGCCTATATGCTAACATAGAAAAGATGCATACTTAATACAAGTTGCAAACAATTAGGAGAAAATTTGTAGGAGCCCTGAGATTTGAATTGCCTATGAATATATATATATATATATATATATATGATATTATCTAGTTATTTTAAATAACAAGGTGTATTTTTACAGCTGCCTAGATTGTAAAATATTGTTCTAGGTGCAGAAATATAGTGAGTTGTATGCTATAGAAACTCGCCTTTTTAATCGTATATTTATTATGTTAAATCATAGATTTATATCTTTTTGTGTTTTACAACAGTTACTGTAAGTATCACTTTTCTTACAATCCTGCGTTAAGGAAAAGTATTCCAAGTCATTAAAGAGTTAAAGTGGTTTGTTCTATGGCCAAATATCCTAGGTTAAGTTGCTAGGTGTAAGGTGTGTTTTAGATATTACATGTGTGTGTGTAGTGTACGGAACGTATGTTATGGACATATGTACGTTCATGTACAAAATAGTATACAATACTTTATTTACATATTTTTAGTTTTAACAACCAAATACATACTAAAAATTATTTCACCAAATACGATTAAACGACTATTATAACCAATAGTGCACGACTAATGAGGCACCATTATTATTATTCCTTGAAAACTAAGCATGACTTACTAATTACTATCATACAAACCTAAGCATTTATAACGAAAAACAAAAAATTTGGAAAAAACACATTAAATGAAAATTGCATTAAATTATTTCTAGGAGTCGATTATAATATTACATATATATTTATAATATTCTGCATATGTTAAGATTATAGTTTAAGCAATTTATTAGTAGTTATTTATTAAGTTTTAAGCTAATTGTGCCTCTCTGGGTTGATCTTCTATTTATGTCCCTATACAACAGGTAAGTATTTTGGGTTAACGATATAGTTCACAATAAGTTTTTTGAATTTCAGGTAACAAATACATTTTCTGTATTTTATTCGATGCATCTCAAGAACAAGTAGAACGAAATTGTATTTACGAATTTCACCCAGATGGCACCTAAATCATAACTCAAATAATATCGTAACTTAAAAAGGTTTATACTAGTTGCATCCTTATGTTGAGTGCCACGGGGTACAATTTCAGTACAAGTAATTCCCAATATCGTAAAAAATACTTTTATTTTAATGTATTTAATTTTATTGAAATATCTTCACTAATTACTTAATTATAAAAATGTTGAAATTAATTGGTAGTTAGGTAAATAGGTTAGGGTATAATTTTTTCAATGAATTAAAGTAAGTTATTGGTAGACATTTGATTATCGTTGCAATCGTTGAGTAGAAAACTGATAGTGAACGCGCTAAGAGCTTTTATCATTTTTTTACAAATATAACGTCTATGAAAAACCGATGTAGTTGCAAAAATAGAACATAAAACAAAAAATTAGTTATCATTTAAAAAGAAAAGCCACTTCCAAAATGGCATTGTGCGAAATGCTTGCAAAATTATTACACGCTGAGTTAATAGAAAATAACGTTGATACTTCTTGTACCTTAACAACTAAAGATGTTTTTTATGTTTAAAAAAAATTTAAATCGTGTGATCTTTTGGCAAAAGTACCTAAATCTTGAAATGAATTTCATATTACGTTAGATTCCATTGACATAATATATAAAGATGACAATTTGTTAAAGCAAAATTATAATAAATTGAATGGTATGGTTATGTTTTCAACTACAAACTTACAAATTTGGAATTTTTATCAAACGTAAATATAGGTATTGTATATTGATGGAACATTTCATTATCGCACTAAGCATTTCTGTCACCTAATTACTTTTCACGGTTTAGTAATAACGATAATAATAGGCAACTACAGCTGTAGATTGACCTTTTTAGTTACGATAAGGATCGGATGCAATTCATAGTTTTCCGGATGCAACTAGTATGCGCCAATTTTGTTTGCACTTGAAAGAAGTCAAATTGTTATTTTGTTTAGCAAAAAGCAAATACTATTTTAACTTACTCTTAATCTCATGGAAGGGGAGGAGGCTTAGCAACCCTCAAGTCCCCCCTTATAATTACGCATGTGTATATTTCAATTTCTATACCTTGGATCTAAATTGGTCAATCTTACCAATTGTACCTTTTGGAAAATTACCTTTAAAATTTGTATTTCCCATAGGCTGCTTACAAAACTTGATAACTTTTTCAATTTGATCGAAAAGTATTGTTTTTTACACGATAAAAGGTTATTTAATTTACATATTTAATGGTCTAACTCATTAAAAATCTTTGCTAAAAATTTACATTATCAGTTTTAGACCCAAGGGCTAAAAATATTGAGTTATGAGATCGACACGGACGTAAAAGATGTTCCTCTTTCAAATAAAAAAAATGATCGAAATCGGACCACTTAACTAAGCGTTTAAGAGTTTTTCCTACTAGAGTATTTGGCCGGGGGAAGGGGGTTGTTTAAATGTCTTCCAATTAGTTTTTCTGCTTTTTGTTTTCTATTATGTATATTTTTATTATCTATTATTATAATTTATTAATATTTACTATTAGTATTATTTATATTATTATTATCTATTTTGTATCTTTTTATTTTCTATTTTATGATTCGACGCAGATGGTAGACACCGACAAACCCTAGTATTAATAATTTTTAAATCGAAATAAGGCGTTTTCCTGTGTAAATAGTTTTTAATAGTATCAGCAAAAAATATACTCTGCCGTAGAGAAAAATCCGTGGTATTTTATAATATGACAGGATGAGCTTGAAGTTTTACAGGGATATCTATTTTTATAAGATAGAAAGCTATCCTGAATTTATTATTATACGATTATGGTTAACTTACCGTGACGTCGGGTTTGAGTTGGTTGATAAAGTCGACTACGGGTTTCCATTTGAAAAACGAGAAGTACGGCGTACCCTGGTAAGTGTCGCCGGCCACCACGAACAACGACGGCAGGTTTTGTTCCTTGGCTTTGGCTTTTTCCTGTTTAACCACTGCGGCCACTCGAGCAAATCCGCCGTAACATATGTTCTGCGCAATATCCTGTTCACGACACTCGTTGCAATACGCGTCCGTCTCGTCGAATCGGCTGTGCATGTCATTGGTGTGCAAAAGCACCATTTCCAGTAGTTCGGCAGTGGATGGTGCCGCCGTGGCCCAGACCGCCACCGCGACTAGCAGAACGCGGCGCGACCACATATTGTATCAACCAGCTGACGACTGCACGCGCACAGACAAAAATATACAAACGTGCACTCGATAATTTGACTCCGCGAGACGCTACACCCCACACTGCGGTACAACGATTTTCTTTTTCGAAACTGTCGTTACTTTTCAAAACGACAGCTGGCTGTTACCATTGCAAAAACGGATCTTCTCGCAATGGCCATATGATAATTAATGCCGCCGTAGTTTTTTCGGTAGCTTACGCTTTGGTATCTTATCTATTCCGTGGTCGAGAGGTTCAATAAATCCGTTAATAAAATCGTAAACCAGTGTCATAATGCTATTTTTTTCAAGCATTACAGGTACTCGGAATAGAAACAGTTGGTTTATTATCCAAATGTCTATGCAAGGTTTCAGCAGACGTTTCACGTGAAACGTTGTTTAGCCACTCACGAGTGCTGTGTAAAAAAAAAAAAATGACTTCTAAATCATAAGCATTTTTTTTTTATAAAACGAGACGCTATTTCATACAAAAAAACTAATGGAATATGATTGGTTGCGTGTTTCTGAAGAACTGAGCTGTTATAAAATAAGATTTACACGTGCACAAGACAAAGCTCAAAGGTCTAGACATTATCTAAAAATATAAACAATTACCTACTATAGAGTTGCATAATACTAACAAATGAAAAATAACTTGGATTCTAATAATTGTATAAAAAAATGTTCCATTACAATTAATGTGATAACGTTTTAAAATCTACAATTTTGCAATAAAATTTACATAAATACAATTTTAAGCGAAAACTGTATACTTTGTATGAGGTTTTCATTTTTAAATTGTTTACAAAATTATAGCCAAACCATTGTGGTATAAGTTCGTGTAGACAAATATGCAATATTGATTTAGCCTCTTGTTCACTTTAAATTGGTCTGATCAATCGCTGGCTAAATTTTGGGGAGAGTTTTGTAAGGTATATAAACTAAAATTTAAAGTGAACTGGAGGAAAAATTATAGTGTTTCGACCCATTAAATCACCCCCCAACATGGTCTTGTTTAATGGAAACAATGTAACCTTGATCCTATACAACTTTCAATAGAGAGATGGCCTCTCTGGTCATTTTTTATTTGAACTGAGATCAATTATTGCCTATCCACTTTGGCTTCTCTTTAGAAGATCGCTCGATGAAGGTCTTTTTCCGTCTATGTTTAAGTTCAGTTCAGTTACACCGATTCCCAAATCTGGTAATCTATCAGATGTGTCCAATTATCGTCCCATTTCCATCCAGTTACATATTTCTAAAATTTTCGAATCCCTAGTTCTAAACGCCATTCAACCAACAGTAAATTCTATCCTCATCGAGGAACATCATGGCTTTCGCCCAAGATGTTATACTAACACATGCAATCTTGTATTCAATAATTATATTTACGAATCTTTCCAGTGTCGGCAACAAGTTGATGTAGTCTATATCGATTTCCAAAAAGCTTTCGACTCGGTCAATCATATGACACTCATACATATTCTTGAAAAATTTGGCTTTGGCGATCTACTTTTGTCATGGTTCAGATCCTTTCTTAGTGACAGATACCAATGGGTTAAAGTTTTTGATATTAAGTCTAATTTGTTTCTTGCTTCCTCGGGTGTCCCTCAAGGCAGCCATCTGTCGCCAATTGTGTTCTCTTTATTTATTAACAGCCTCCCTCTTGTATTACACCATTGTCACTTTCTATGCTTTGCTGACGACATCAAACTGTATTTGCGCGTAGGCAAGCTTGATGATTGCGCAAAACTCCAATCGGATTTAAGTCGTTTTTCTGAGTGGTCATTACCTTGGGTCTATCACTTAATCTCTCGAAATGCAAAATTATGTCCTTTACTCGATCTCTATCTCCATTTATGTCCTTATACTTCCTTAGAGGTACTGCTGTCTCTTGGGCTGTCGATTACGTCATAGACCTGGGTTTCAAGCTTAGCTACAACCTCGACCCGAGTGCTCACACTGAATATGTATGTTGCAAGGCTTTCAAAACTCTTGGTCTACTCATGCGGTTGGCTTAGGACTTTCGGCTTGAAGTGTCGCTAAAAACTCTTTTCTGTGCACTTGTGCGCCCCATTTTAGAGTATGGAGCCGTAGTCTGGGATCTTTATACTGTCGATAATTCAAGACAGCTTGATCGTGTAGAACGTAGATTCTTACGCTTTGCTAGCTTTTTTCTTAATATACCTCGCTCGCCTCATAATTATACACCGATTGCTACCCACCTTGGACTGTCTTCTCTAGCTGAGCGCCATCGTTTCGCTGGCCTTAAATTCCTCGCAGGGTTATTAAACCATAACATCGATTCACCCGTCCTACTCTCTCTAATCTGTTTAAGAGTTCCACCTCGTTCATCCCGTTCCTCCGCCCAATTCTATGTCCCGTATGCCACTACAAATTATATGGCTAATGAGCCTTAAGGACGTCTAATGTCGACTGCCAATGCGGATACCTCCTTTAATGATTTATTATTAATTTAATTTTGTATAAACTATAATTTTATTGTATTGTATCTATATTTTAATTTGTATTGTCCAAAAGGGCCCAGCCCGTATAATCTAATAATAAATAAATAAAATAAATAAATAAATACTATTTCAAATTAAAATATTAAACTTTCCAGATCCTAAATCCAAAAAAATCTATGAATAAAAATTGCGACATTATCTTTCGGTTTATTTTTTGTAATTTATACAATTAGAATTATTATTTTATTTTTTATGACCTAAATTTAAACCTAAGGCAATAAATAGTTTTTGTTAGCACGTCATACAACAAACAATTATTGTTGGAAGAGCGCATTATGTGGTATTTAGCTTTTGTTTTTTACTACACTTCGCGATTGTGACAGATAATGAACACCATAGTTACAATAAGTTGTGTAACATTTAAAAATAAAAAAATAAAAAATCGAGTTTATGGGACTTCGTATAGACTTGATATAAGAGCAAAAACATTGACCGGTAAAACATGACCTACTCTTCGCGTCATGTATCCTTGTCCTTTAATCTAAACACATATAGTAGTATGATGATATTTTATACTATTTTTAATTTCTATTAATGATTATTATTTATTATAAAAATAATTGAGTGCAAACAATTTTAAGTACGAGGACGAACTATAGAGTCCCTATGCACAATTTTATACATAAAAAATGTGTAAAATTTAATAACTACATCAGTTGGCAAAAAAAATTGGTGATTTTTTTTTAAGTTTAGAAAATGTTTTGTATTAGGCCAAAAATTTGTTTTTTAATGACATGCACAACAAATTCTTCTTAGTTATGCTTTAATGAAAAACCTCCATGTTATTGCCAACTGAATACATACACACTAGACTGCTTTAAAAATTGAATTTCTTTTCGTCTCCACAGCGAAAAATGGGTACATCTCGGTCAAAAAAAGTGTCTGATAAAATGAAAAAAATGTCCAATTTTTTTGGCTAATCGCAAAGGTATTTTTAATTTTCTATTGAAATAACACACAAGATATACTATGATTTTTTTTTAATTACGCCCAACTGTACATTTTTAAGACACACGGTTCTAACTACCGCCGTTTAAAAGCTTAAGAAAGTACACTCAAGAATGATTGAGTTTCGACAAGTACTTGTAGTTTAGACGATAAAATCCATGGAATATTGAATTTTTTTTTTAAATTTTAAGTCAAAACTTAGGTACTTATAGCTATCAAACTTGAAAGGAGTTTTCTATCTAAATCTAAATATTTTAAAATAAAATAGGTATTTATTTATTTAGAAATTCATTTAGATTTTATTTATATCTACAAGCATAAGTTTTTGAGTGGTCCGGTGGTTGGGGATAATGAAACTTCCCCCCCAATTTGCGTCACATGTTCTGTAGGTAAACTTTTTAAATGTTATTAACTAAAAGAATGCCCATATTTACCTATCTATACACTAAAATTTACAAATATAATTCTGCGACGATGAATAAGAGAAGATATCACTTCGCATAACAATAAACTAAAGCAAAACGATTAAAATGACGTTAAAACTCGACACACGGGTCATTAACTTTTAAATTTACATGCACTAATCCAGTACAACTGACTTTAACGTCGACGAAAATCTAATAAAAACAATCTTATTTCGGTAATAAATATTACTTTTAATTACTCAAACTACTTTAATATGTATTTACACAAAATACATAATTGTACGATACAAGATAGTATGCACTTCTTTTATATCACACATGTTTATTATTACATCATTATTGCAGTCTACGATAATGATAATAGAAAGGGTCAAGGGAGATTATCTTAGTTTATGGGTCATATTGTAAATAAATATTAAATACTAATTAGTAATTAATAATTATTATAATATGTTATCTGCAGAATCAGGATTGTTATCACAATGTAGAGAAGATACATTATTAATATGATGATTGAAATGTTTAACCATTTTGGTAACCAATTGTTACCGATATCCGTTACAAACTTCAAACACTTCCGCTAACTTCGTGTTTATCGGTTTTATTTTATCTTTTGTTGTGTTTATATTATTTTAATGTAAGTTGTAACTTGTAAATTGTAATACACTTAGTAAAATAATAATATGATTTAAGTACCTACTGTTTGGAATTTAAGTTGTTTCGAGATTTTTGTTGTGTTCGTTGATTTATCTTAATACTGTTTTTTTTCAATAACTTAGTTCAAAAAGTTTATTTATAATTTTTTTGGTAGTAATCCAATCAGAAGTATAACTTGATATGATATTAATTTTACAACATGTCTAACAAACGAGTGTTTTATTTCTACAATCCGGACGTGGGTAATTTCCACTATGGTCCTGCACATCCGATGAAACCTCATCGGTTGTCTGTCATACATAGTCTAGTGTTGAATTATGGCCTTTACAACAAAATGAAAATTTATCGACCTTACCGTGCAAGTGCTCATGACATGTGTCGTTTCCATCACGATGAATACATAGAATTTCTTCAAAGGGTAACACCACAAAATCTCACCACATACAGCAAATACTTGAACCACTTTAATGTGGGCGAAGACTGTCCCGTGTTCGAAGGTCTGTACGATTTTTGTTCAATGTATACCGGAGCTTCGTTGGATGGAGCAATGAAACTTAATAAAAACGTCTGCGACATTGCAATAAACTGGTCAGGCGGACTTCACCATGCTAAAAAATTTGAAGCATCAGGTTTCTGTTATGTAAATGATATTGTTATAGCAATTTTGGAACTGCTAAAATATCATCCAAGAGTTTTGTATATTGACATTGATGTACATCATGGTGACGGTGTACAAGAAGCCTTTTATTTAACGGACCGCGTTATGACGGTATCATTTCATAAATATGGCAATTGGTTTTTCCCTGGAACCGGTGATATGTATGAAATCGGCGCTGACGTAGGACGATATTATTCTGTAAATGTGCCGCTCAAAGAAGGAATTGACGATTTGAGTTATTCACAGGTTTGTTAAAAATTCATCCAAAATAAGGTTGTATGTACTATAGTTATGTTTTTTAATTAAATTAAATATGTAAACATTTTGTTTACCTAGGTTTATATATAAGCTGTTTTATATTGAATAATAATTAATAACCAAAATTCTTTATTTAAAATATGTAAACTTAATCTTAAGTTTTTTGAATATAATATAAATTAAATATAACCTTAAGTATTTATACTTATTTATTTATGTTATTTTATTAAATATTTATGTACTAATATAAAACAATTTTTTTTTATGTTACAGGTATTTAAACCAGTAATTCAACATGTAATGGATTTGTATCAACCTACAGCAATTGTTCTTCAATGTGGTGCTGATTCTCTAAATGGTGACCGTTTAGGTTGTTTTAATCTCAGTACCAAAGGTCATGGTGAATGTGTCAAATTCATTAAAGACTTAAATGTACCATTATTGACTGTTGGTGGAGGAGGGTATTTATTTTTCATATTTTATAATGTAGTAGTGAAAACAACAATATGATACACAAATACTAAAAATTAAAATATATTATTATAGGTACACGTTAAGAAACGTTGCTCGTTGTTGGACGTATGAAACCTCACTTCTGATAGACGAAGAAATAAGTAATACAATACCGGAACATGAATATCGGGATTACTTTGCTCCAGATTTTTTGCTTCATCCTGAAGTTGTTACGCGACAAGAAAACGCAAACAGTAAACAGTACTTGGAACTTATCGTAAAGCATACTTATGATAATTTAAAAATGGTACAGCACTCCCCTAGCGTTCAAATCCAAGATGTACCTGGTGATGCGATTGATGCTGAAGAGGCAAATGCTATTGCTTTAGACGAAGCTGATCCCGATGTACGGCAATCTCAAGTGGAACTCGATAGGCGCGTTGACGCTCCTAATGAATTTTATCAAGATGATAAAGATCAGGATTTTGAAGAGACTAGATAAAAAATTATTTGTATTTATTGAAAATTTGTGTATCACATGTACTGTTTTTATATATTGATAATTCTAACTGTGATTTTTTTTTAAAAACCTTTTTTAGTGTAAGGAATAAGTGCTCGAAACATTATTATAGTTAATTATTTAACTACAATATTCTTTCAAGCACTGTACAATTTTATTCTTAGTAACTTTTTTTTATGTTGACAACTTTTTCATGAATATTTGGATAATACAAATGCTACCTTTGTCATGGTATAGTGGCAGTATAATTGTTTAATTAATAAGATATTTTTGATAATTGTGCGTTTAATAAAATAATAATGTCATTTAAAGATAAAGAATTATTAAAATAACATAATAGTGCATGAATAATATTCAATCAATATATTATTTTTATAGTTTTATGTTTTAAAATAATTGTAACCTATGTAAATTTTATGCAATGTATATAATATTGTAAATAGTAACTTCAACATATAAAATGAGATATTATTTGCTATTTGCTGTGTACATTTCATCTATATCTATGTAAATAATAAATAGGGTATTTTTATAATGTAGAATTTGTGTGCTTGAAAATCGGATTAGAAATTGCATATTCTACCAATACTTATATTAAAAAAATATGTAAAAATTGTACATTGATTAATTAAGAGTGGAAAGTAGAGTAATTTTTATCTGCGCGCTATTTCTCAACCGCACTCCACCTCCTGTCCTAAATTTTAAACTTAAATAACTTTGAAAATAATTTTTCAAAACTGGTTATCGACCAGTAAGTTTTTTCAGCAAATTATTATTAATTTAAAAAGTTAAAAATATATATACGTTACCATTTAAGTTTTAAAAGTTGATAAAGCTCTAGAAAATACTAAAAAAGATAAAAATTTAAATATTGTTTTATATAGTAATATAGTATAATCAAAATGTTTTTCAAAAATAACCACTACAAATTTGCAATTATTTTAAGAGTAAACTAATGTAGGGCGTTAAAAGAATCATCCGGTATATGCCGTGCTAAAAAAGAATTGTTCCATAACCAATGAGAAGCCTACCTAATTTAAGTCTACATTGTTATGTAACGTTACAGTTAAAAGTAGGGTTCGGCAAAATTAGCTAATAACAATTAGATAATTTTGTGTTCGAGAATACCAAACATATTTTGTAGCTTAATAAATAAAAGATAATTAGTTTATTTGTTATTCATAAGTACCAAAATTATCTCGGGCTTAATTAATGGTTTTATATTTTAGTTTGTTTATCGACTTTTGAGTTACCCACTCATTAAGTGTACTGCGGACAAGTGTTTGTATATTATACATCCACGACTTATTAATTCGACACAAGTGGCATACGTGATTATTTTATTTTATAAGAAATATACTTATTATTCAATTCTTTGACGTATTTAATAATATAAGAAGGGTTTAAAGTAAAAATAAAATACTTTGAAGTTTGACTCAATTAGTTTACATTAGTGGTATATACGTATTCGATTCGCTCTTAATAACTATACTTTTAGGTTATATATTGACAACAATGTCAATTTGATATAAATAAATCACAAGGCAAATGTATGTGACGCATGATGATTAGTGATTACCAATAATAAAAAATAAAAAATGTATACAATTGTAAGACAAATTAGATGGGCCGTAGTTAACCAAAGACACTGATGTCGATCAGCTCTGTTTTGTACGCTCTCGCATGAGTTTTTTGCAGAACTCTAGTTGCCAAGTTAATTAACAAACCTTAAATTTTACAAATGTCTACTGCGGTCCAAGTGGAAAATTCAGTCATTGTTATGCCGAATTTGATATACTGTTGCTTATGTACTGTAATAGAGTAAACGGACCAAGTTTACAATGCACGCTTGACGCTATAATTGAGTAATGTGAAGTATCAACTATTGATGTGTATTTACCATATGAACTACGAGTAGCCCGTAGACGACTAAGTATTGTTGTGACTTGCGGCCATTGATACACAGTACTAAAACGGGCCAGGGAAACGTGCATTTTGAAGTAGATGCCTACTATTATATAAGTTTAACCAAATACCAATCGTTGTTAGAATAGAATAGAATGTATATCTATTACCTATGTAAACACGATAACGAATTTTGTATTTTATGTACAGAGTGAGTACAATAAAATACCACAACTCTATTTATTCAACGTAATATTGGGTAAAATTGATTAAGACGTCATTGTAAACAGTAAAAACATAGTTTTTTTCCGGTATTGACATCATCACAATTGACCGGAAAACCAAAAAAGAAGAAGATACATATGTATGATGTGTAATGTGTTTCATCATGGCCAAATTTCCAAACTGAGCGTGATGCGGTTTAACGTTTTTTAAACTAATTATAAATAAAGTCTCAAAAAGACAAATGCAAATTCTAGATTATATAGAATAACATAAATTCAACGTTAATACAATTTAAATTGCACCTAAAAAGTAGGTATTGTTTACATTTAAAATCTGTTACAATCAAAGTTTTATAACCACAATATATTTATATTGAAATAAATAATTAAATTTAATGAAACATTAATGTTGTGAGCCGATTTAAAGGTGAAATATTTTCCTATTATGTTTTCTAAGAAGTTATTAAGTTGTTCTTTAAATATAATATGAATGCTTCACATGGGTATATATTTTCATTATTTTGTATGCACTCGATGTGTAATGTATGTGCAAACTCCTGTTGAAACCGTCTTTCTTTTCATTAAAAATTCCATCATTTTTACGCTGTTCCACGCCGTAGACCTTTCAACCGACAACGGCCGGGTATACTGCGTACTTTCGTAACAGAAGAAAAAAACTGAAATAAAAGGAAATATAAATGAAACAAACCAAGTAAAAAAGCGGTCCGTTATTAGGTCTAATATGTACACACACACACACATATTTATATATATTAATGTGTATATATATATATATATATATATACAAACAAAAAGTAAACAAGTCTTTGAAAGCATTTTGTCAATGGTTTGTGAAGCAAAACCCATAAGTAGTTGTTTTCAATAGGAAACTTAAGAGCAAAGTAAAGCTAAATCTTTCTGAAACGTTCTGTGTGTTGCCATGTCCGGTATTTTTTCCAACGAAAAGCTTTTGAGTGGATCAATCAGAGCACAATATTTTATATTATTACTTGTACACCCTCTTCGTAATATTAATAAGGAAGACGGTCATTGGCGTCGTCTAGACTGCCATAGCTACGGCCTACTGCTAAGCTATCATATTTACAATATGTAGGTATTGTTCTTATAATTTTTAAAATTAATTTTATAAATCATTATTTATGTATAAATTATAATTAATTACATTTTTTTGGGTATGTTATTGAGTAGTTGTAAAATTTATAAGGAGGAACTTATAAAATTATAACAACCTAAGTTGGATGTAATTTTATTTATAAAGCGGAACGGTTAATATTAAAAAATACATACTTATCTGTTAATTGTGTTTATCAATAGATGTTACTAGCGTAATAAGTGTGTTTACTATGTTGATATAGATTATTACATATTATAAAAAATAATAATAGGTCTTGAGACAAACACAACTGATGAAAACTATTCGAAAACACTTATAGTTTTTTGTTGCATAAGTTAATCATTTATACTATTTTGAATTGTGATAATAACATAATATATCATATCATTTTACACGCGTACTCTGCAGATTATTCAATTGTTGTCTGTTGTCAATGTTTTGAACATTTCCTCATAAATTATAATTTCATGTTTATCTGGCTTACCTTACTTTACCTTTAGGTGTCTACTCGTATGAATTTAACTCAATGTCATGGTTATTTTGTAGTCACATTGCTTTACTCTCCTTTGCTGCCATCCGTTGAATTATCACTTTCCTAAAATAAAGGATGATTGATGAGGATTGTTAAGCCTATTTCTAAGGGAACAATGCATTTTGTTGCAAAATATATGAAACAAAAGTGATACAACAAAAGCGAGTTTCAGTTTAAAATTCGAAATTTAACCTCTTTTAATTATTGAGCACAGCCCACAGGTTACAATAAAACAAACAGCAATAACCCATTTTCAAAACTTTAGATTATTAGGCTATGACATATTAATAATGGGGTATTTTTTACATTTAAGCGAATATTCATAATATATAATATTTAGAAAGCAAAAATCTTCTTTCTGCTTTAACATTTATTGTTGTTCGTTGTACACATTTAAGTCGTGTCCCACTCTTAGATTAATTTTTGTTAACCCATAAACGCCGTCATGTCGATATCGATTTTCATTGTTGTAACGTAACAATTAGGGATAAGTTATATTTTTTTGTCTTAGAAACAATCTACATTGTTGGAGAACTTCTTGAGATCATTCTGGGAAGTCGAGGAGTTCAAAGCGCAATAAACAAAAACGTGTAACATCAGCAAAATTCAGATTAAATGATCACGTTTAATGTTACTATAGTAACCAAAGCTACAATAATATTGATATTTTTAAATCTGCCCTTAAGAAATGTCAATGTTGTGGTAATGTATAAGTATTTTGTCATTTGATTTATATTTATATTTCATTTGTATTATTCTTAAATGTGTTTACAGAACTTGTGCGTCATAAATAAATGTTAGTAAATATTAAATTAATACATATTATAATTAAAATAATTATTTATTATACTGGGATGTAGTAAAATATATATAAATATAGCTTAAATATTTTCTAGTAATGTGTAAACCCAATAAATTGTGAAAATTATTTTTTTACATCCAGCATAATTGTATTCAAGACAAGAAAACCATTAGTATTTCATTTATTCCGATAAATATTAGCAAACCTTTTTATTATGATCATAGTGGCACTTAAGTTTATGTTCTTTAGTGGCATAACTGTTCATATAATTAAATATGAAATTGCTTATTAAGTAATTTGACGTTTAAGTTGTACAAAAATGTAAAAAATCATTGCATCTGCATGTTCCAATTTTTAACTGTAGTCAATATCAGTAATTAAAGTCACGGTTGTTTAGTTTGATGAAACATTAGAGATGCAAATAAATTATACAAAATTTAAAATAGTAAATAATTTCAGTTGCTGGGTAATAATTGTTGGATATAAATGCGCTAAAGCCTCAGGCTTAAGACTTTTTTTAATAACAAAATAAAAGAAGATAATTATTATAAAGAATATTGTAAAAAATTCAACATTCTATAGCTTTGATAATTATCATAGCATTTGCAGAATTCATATAAATTAAAGGTGTTTTTTTTAGAGAAGTAAGTTTTTTAGCTTTGACCTCCTTATTACTGCTCTTCTATTGTCTGTTGTGTGCCAGCTCGCACATTTAATTGCGATTTGCATTTTAGACTTGAGTTAAATCAGTTTTTCCATTCAGTCCCTGTATATTCTATTTTTATATTTTTTAGCTTTGATGTAAGGTTGTAAACTTTTTTTTTTTGTACATTATTATCTATTCTTTCCCAAACGATTGTCCGGTTTGGCGTAAATACGCAATTAGGCGGTTATTTTTCGGTCACTTTGGTTTAGAAAATAACTTTGCCGTGAAAAACCGTCAAAGTATAATACATATAACTAATATAATATACTCCAATTCGATTCCGTTCGGTTAGGAAGAGATTGTACAGTATCACAGTAAAAACGAATACGCCAAAACAACAGTGAGATCGAACACGTCCGGTATGAGGGTGGTAATTTGGGAAATTGGGTTTTTTTGAGGGGGGGGGGGGTAAGTAGCGGTGTTGGTTGCTTGTGTTTTTCATGTTATTATTATACATGTACCGAGCGACTGGCGCGGCAAGGCACTCAGGGAAATCGTGGCGGCCCGTGGTAACCGTTACAAATCGCCCGTAATTTTTAGCAGCCGACACAGTGAGTGGGAGAAGGGGAGTGGGAGTCGTGATTGTAAATAGGTGCCGCGGTATTGGCGTCGCGTCTTCAGGCGCCTTTCACCGGGTACGACCGGCGGTTCGGGTCAAGCCATCCCTCCCCCCCAGGTTTTGACCCCTCTCGCCCGTGACATCTGCATCCCTTCGGTCGTCCACACCGCTGCCAGCCTATTTCTTCGTTTTCCGCACTCGTTAGTACGGCGAAGGGGTGGCTAACGTCGGTGGTAACGCCGTCACCAAGGTGCGCCACCGCCGCCGCCTCACAGCCACATTCAACCGCGTCCCGTGGCCGTCGTAGTCGCCGCGCGGCACAGCCACACCGCGGTCCACGGCGTAGCGCAAGTCCGTCGGTCCACAATCGTCCTGCATCTGCCTGTCCCGGCATACACGTGCGCGCTTATAGGTGGTACGTACGAGTACGATGGGCCGGAAGACGGACAGGTGACTACCGCGTACGCTTACTGCAGACGACGTGACGTAATTTGCAAGTGAGTTATTACTGTTAATTTTTTTATTTTACGCGACTGGAATAAATTTCAAATTGTTTTCACCAACCGTTGATGCCCACACATGCTGTTCTTTCATGCAAAAACAAGATATCCTTTAGTAATTTATTATGTTTAATATTTTTTAATTATTTAATAATATTTAAATATTTGATTTGGTTTGGAACACATAACTTAAAGAACGAATAGATTTTATTTTATTTATTGAACAAATCTCATCAAGGGGCCACATTTTAAATATTCCCGTATTTTCCAAAAAATAAGAAAATATTTTCAATCAGATTTTTTGGGAAAGTTGTACTAAGAAAGTTTATAGAGGCTATGATTTTCTGATAAAACAATCAACTACCAATAAAGTAGAATAAATAATATCATAATAAACATACACAACAATTTTAGCTCTAAGTTAAGTTTTTGCAAACCATTACCGGTACCGCGAGGGTCTTAAAACTTAAAAAGTAACATGAGTGGCGTTCTCTTAATTGCGATAGGACTGGTGTCCACTTGCCAGTAATATATGTGATTTTTTTTTTATTTACACTAACGGGTCTTACGAATATTTTCAAAAATCAGCTTCCTCAAAATGACTAGGTATCTAAACTAAGACGTTTTGATTCAAAATATATAAGCCGGAACAAAGAAATTACTATAAATAACCCCTCTGTCACCCTATAAGCTGTACCTATGTTGAGCTGGGTCGAATAAAACAAAAATTTGTATTCTTATAAAAATTGTAGCAATATTTAGTAATTATATTTATTATCATAGGAGTAATAACATGTAATGATTAAAATTAAGTTGGGGGTAAATGGCGGAAGATTATGGGAGCTGATGGAGCTATCCTACACTCCCCTAACCTCTTCAAAATTAAACCATTACGCTAATATTATTGTGATATGTGTGAAATAAATGTGAAGCAACAATGTTGAAGCAGCAGCTTGTAGATTAAATTAATTTATTATTTAAATTTAATAAAGAAATACACTTGTGTCTAATTTAAATCAGTCATCTATTTTAGGAACTGATATGTTTTTCTAACGCGCGTATTTATAAATGATATATCTATAGCTCATTCAGTCAGGCCCGGATTAACACTATCGTAGGCCCTAGGCACAGTGTTTATAGAGCCTATGCGCTTATACGGTCCTGGGGTTGCTGGGCAAAAAAATCGTCCAGTGAAAAAGAGCCGTATTTCTGGCAATGGGATATCCTATCCAGTTTTCAGTATTTAGATGGTTAAGAAATTTTCTCTTTGGGATAGGAAAAAATAAATCTCAGTATTTAGCTTTTAAAAACAAAAATATTTACAACATTAAAATCAAATCTGAACTTTTATAACATTTTATATAACAATATAAGAAGAAAAAAAAACAATTAATTTTACTCCTTTATATATTTATAAAATTAAATTGTCAAAAACATTAAAAAAAAACACCTTATTTAATATAATTTTTCATACTTCTTTATCACTCGTATTTAAGAATAACAAAAGATAATTTTAACAAAAAAAAAATTACAATTATGCAGCATATTACTTAAATATAACTTTACATTTACAAAACTTTTTTGCGACACTTTTTGTTTGCAAATGATTCGATGACTTTTTCGGTATCGATTTCTTGGAGCAATTCGTGTTCAATTGCGAGTACCGATAATGAGGATAATTTATTTTGCCCAATAGTTGATCGCTGCCAATTTTTAACCCTCTTTAAAACTGAAAATGATCTTTCGCCTTCGCACGATGTCCCAAAAATCGATAAATATATTCTAAAAAGAAAGGTTTACATTTGGAAAACTTGTTACCATTTTGGTATTTATTTGTTTCATTAGCATTTCATTGACAGACATTCCAGTTTCTCAAAAGCTCTTAAAAATTAAAAACTCATTAACAAATGCAGATTCCAAATCGGTTTTATAGGATTCAACTAAATTATTTGCCTTTACTTTTATTTCTTCATCTTTTAAACTCTCGTCAGTTAAAAAATTAAATCTTTCTTCTAATCTTAAATAAGCTTTTTTCCATTTCTACGATCAACTATGTTAAGAGTATACCTGTTAAGAGATTGTTCCGTGTAAAGTCACTATGCCGGATTGACGATAAGCAATATTCTGTGGACAACTGATAAGGATCAAGAATAATGAAATGTTATATTATGTCGAAATAATTTTGACCATAAGACTATATAATCTATGATTTCAATAAAATTGGTACGATAAATATACTATGTTCTGAAATCTCCTAAAATACTAAACTTACTAAACAGTTATGGGGTTTTCGTACACCGTCGTATGCGAACGACATTTTATCGGTTTTTCCAGTCTGATTTTTATAGGTAATTATGATAACATTGAGTGTTAATATAAGAGTAATGTTATTATTTTTTACTGTAAAATCTTAATATAACCATTACTTGTGTACAGTAACTTATAGTAAAAGTAATAAAAAATAAATAAAATATTACAAATAAGAATCGTAGCCACACATTTTCGTAGGCCCTAGGCACGGTGCCTACAGTGCCTTAATACGGCCCTGCACTCAGTGTATGATAATTTACTTAGATTAAGCTGTTGTTTTATTTGTACTTTTTATACCTTTTTAACTATGGACATTCCATCTCATGTTGCAAAACAACTAGTCGGGGAACGACACAAAGTTCGTTTAGAAGTTATGTCTTACCTGGTTGTGCTATTAAGAAGCAACCAACCCGAATATATCTTATGTGTCATTTTTATTTAAGATATCCGTTTATACTTTTTATATAAATATTATACTACAAATAATATATAAATAATTGATAATTGTGTGCGATATTAGTATTTGTGCATACAATTGATTATAAAATGTATAGTCTATTTTATGTATTATAACATTTTTTGATTATGTGCAAATGATTTTTAGTGCATACAATATGTATGTATATTACAACCGGTAAATATCAGGGAATGCAAAAACTATGTGTAACATAAACATTTAAAAACTATACATTAATTATTTTCAAGCCCTTGAATAAATATTATAATTATAATATTTTCCTCCAAACTTAATTAAATATATTTTTTAAACTTAAATTACTAGTTAATAAATAGGGAAAGAGCTATTAATTAAGGGGAACAGAATAGATAGCATTTGATGAAAATTGATCTAGGGCCATTTTAAACATGTCAACTAATTTGAAAGTAAATAAATATTAAGTTTTTCTGGTTACAAAACTTTTAAAGTTTTTGTTTTTCACTGAGTTATGGAGAAAGTTTCATAAAAATGACTTTCGTCGAAGTCACTTTTTCGTGTATCTATAGGATGGATTTCAATTTATTTTATATCAAGCTTACTACTTTCTCTATGTGGGCTAAGAGCTCAAATTACATTTTAGCTATTAGAAAATTAGTTAGATTTATAGGAAAAACTTTAAAAAATAAAAATATAAACGTCTACAATAAAATAAAAAAAAACCAAAATAAAAAAATCGGTCTCTTAGACCCATAGAGAAGATGTTAAACTTAATAACAAAAAAAAAGAAATCGGCTTAGTAGACACCTTGAAAAGTGACTTTGCATTTTAATCATTATTTGTATAAATTATGTCTCGTTTCGTCCTCTTAATATAAAATATTAGCCCACCTAATCTTTTAAGATTGTATTATTTAATTAATGAGAAACGCATTCTTATTTAAAAGCATAAGCTACCTTATACTATTTTGACTTTATGGCAAAGATATTGAAATATCAGTTACCTTCTCTCGATTTATATTAGGTTTATTCAGACATAATTTTGAAGTATTCATTTAGACCTATTTATTTATTCGGCTCCATAAATCATGATGATATGTTCTTATCGGCTTCAAATATAAAAAAAAAGTGTCCTTCTTGTCCTATAAACTTGGAACAAAACTAAAATAATTTATGAGTTTTTTCAATTTCACATTAACTTGTTTCGTTTTTTGGATAAAAGGCAGAACTGACCTAGAAATTATTTACTTAAAAATGTTTTAAATGCAGAATTAGAATTACAACTTAACTTGACTCAAATTGTCATTTCTCGCAGAAATCTTAAAACTTTTTTTGTTTGTTAATTTGTAAATATAAGTGCCAAATTAAAATCGACAAAATATATAACAACCTAATAAATACGACACTTACTTTACTTCAGTCAAATATCAAATATGTATAAAACTTATTATTTACAATGATTATACAAAAATTATACTCTTGTAACATCTTTTATAATGAACACCGACAATTTAAATAATTTCTTTTTATTTTATTTCTGTTGTTAATGTCGGAGAAATAGGGTAAAATAATTTTTACAACTTTGATCCTTTACCAAATCTACCCCAAGTTACAAACTATAGTACGGATTATGATTAATATAAATTGGACTTACGTTCAAAAGTGTCTATATCGACTATACGCTTACATAAACCTAAACATGACACTGCAAAACAAATGTTTTAATATTTAGATCATTTGGAGAGTAAACTCGAGGTAAATATACGTTTTTACTTGAATAAGTGGCCTAAATGAAATGTTCGGTTACTTATTTTTATTTATTCAATTAATTATTTTTTTGTTCGACGCTAATCGACGATTTGCCTTAGAAGTTTTTTTGAAGAATATGATAATTTATTCCTTTTGAGTTAAACGTCTACAACTAAATTCGTGACAGTTGCTATTTTATTGTTACAAAATAAACTTCAAACTTTTGCTTCGTTTTAATAAAGATAAAATGAAACACGTCCTAAGTGCTTTAAGTGGTATTTCCTTAAATCATTTTTATATACTATACGGATTAAAAAATATTTTAAATGACACGATGACTAACGGAGATGAATATTAGGGCATATTCGTATCACATGTAATAATAATTAAAAATCTAGGCTTTTGCTTTTTTATTATCTTCATTTTTCTGTCGGAATTGCTTTAAAAACTATTCTGCTGTTTATTTTTGCATTATGGTTATATATTAAATCCAAGTGTACAATACA